TTGCCAAGAAGCGGCAGTGCCTTTTTGTAAAACTGGCCTCTGAACGTAATTCGGTGCATGCTTGATAAGTGGATTAGCGCGAAAGCGGAACACTCAAACCCCAGCTCCTCTCCTAACAACACCTATGTTATCACCGCCAGGGAACCCACGACCCACCACCCATTCGTCCAATCTGTTAGATGAGACAGGCCACGCGTCCGCTGCTGCTCTCGGCCGCACTTCCAGCCGACTCTGGCCGATGGCGGACGCCCGGCCCGGTAACGCCACCCAGCCACCCCTCAGCTGCCCTCTCCATCTGTCTATCCTATTTTAGCCATAAGTTGTCTGTTTTTGGGTCCCGATGTTTCAGAAATTCGGGAGTTTCCACCCATTTGACCGCCTCTGACATCCCAGATCCCTCGACCGTCTCGATAATCATGGCTTTCTCGAAGACTCGCATTCAGAACATTCAATGGGTTTCGCCGCCTAAGCGTTCACGTGTTACTTGGCTGTTCCTGACCCTTTGAAAATCTTGGTACCCCTTGACCAATTTGGAATCGCTCAACTGTCTAGCATGCTTTGACCAGCTGGGTCTTTGGCCGGTATTTGACCGTCTCAACCCCCGACTGTTTAGAATACCGCTGATCATTTTGGGTCCGTTCGAATCTAGTAGCCATTATAGCTGCCCATAACCAGTAGCCTCTTAAGCGCTCCGACCATTTCGAGCTATTTTGGCCGCACCGAGCTATTATTCGCTTTCTTGTTTGGTTCAGGGGCTCCTAAAACGATTATTCCGGACTCTCCGGCCATCTGCGGACTCTGCAATGCCTTTGAACCTTTCTGCATTCAGACGCACACGTGCCCCTCAGAACCTCTTGATCCTCCGGGACGTTTGATCGTGCTAGAGCCCCGTTACCAGCTGGAAACTTTTCCGTCGTTTCGGCCTCTTTTGTCAAGGGACCATGGTGACCACCAACCTTTTGACCATCACCAGTATTTCACGGTCAAAGATCCCTTGCCCGTCCGTGGACCTTTCGCGTATTTCGGGCTCCACATTGACTTCGAGCCACTTGGGCGTTTCAGGGCCCTCTGGCCGCCTTGACACCCGGCCATCTCGACCTTCTGACCAAACAGGAGCCTCCCATCGTATCGGGTCTCTTCTGCAGTCTCGTGACACTGACAATCTCGGTGGTCCATAACTGACACAGGCCTCGTGTCTGGGGACCGGGCAGCGGAAGTGGGGGTGCAGGAGTTTTACAAGCGATCCTTCACGCGAGATCTCGCAACGGGTTCAAAGATTATGGGGTGTCGTCGGACCCTTCACCCCCATGTCAAATTTGAACCCGCCAAGGCTATACGGGAGGCGCAGAAAGGTCAAGCGCCTGAAGACTGGACGGACAGGGCACGCGACCGTCGAGGGACATCAAGACGGATTCGAGACTTTCCGACACTCCAGGTCCCCGCAGAACGCCGAGGCCCTCGGATGTTGGCACTTCCGTGGAACCTCCTCACGGGCGAGGGCTTCGGCACCATAGCCGCGCGACGCTGAGGCCTGAGGAGATTGGCACGTCCGTGGAAGCTCCTCACGGGCGAGGGCTTCGGCACCATAGCCGCGCGACGCTGAGGCCCTCGGATGTTGGCACGTCCGTGGAAGCTCCTCACGGGCGGGGGCTTCGGCACCATAGCCGCGCGACGCTGAGGCCCTCGGATGTTGGCACGTCCGTGGAAGCTCCTCACGGGCGGAGGCTCCGGCACCATAGCCGCGCGACGCTGAGGCCTGAGGAGATTGGCACGTCTGTGGAAGCTCCTCGTGGGCGAGGGCTTCGGCACCACATCCGCGCGACGCTGAGGCCTGAGGAGATTGGCACGTCTGTGGAAGCTCCTCACGGGCGAGGGCTCCGGCACCATAGCCGCGCGACGCTGAGGCCTGAGGAGATTGGCACGTCTGTGGAAGCTCCTCACGGGCGGAGGCTTCGGCACCATAGCCGCGCGACGCTGAGGCCTGAGGAGATTGGCACGTCTGTGGAAGCTCCTCACGGGCGGAGGCTTCGGCACCATAGCCGCGCGACGCTGAGGCCTGAGAAGATTGGCACGTCTGTGGAAGCTCCTCACGGGCGGAGGCTTCGGCACCATAGCCGGGCGACGCTGAGGCCTGAGGAGATCGGTTACATGCAACATGTGGATGAACCGAAGCCACAGCCAGCACGTATGAAGCGCACCGCAGAATTATAAAGGGATTACTCGCGAAATGCATTGCACTGTTCTCTCACTGCGTTTTGTTAGGTTGCTCGAGTACAATGGTAATGCCCAGAGCAGTGCACGATTTCTACCATTTAGCAACTATCTCATGTGAGTGAGGATGTAACATGTTATGTTTTATGTTAGTAAGGATATAACGTGACCCACAATCCGCTTGAATTAGATGTAAGATGGAATGGTTTTAAAACAAGGTAGCAGGACACCCGAAATTCCCCACTGTTTCAACACACTCCACGAGCTTAAAAAGGCGGCCAAAATCTGAACAGAGCACATGCTTCGGAACCAATTGTGCCACTCCTACCATACGGACCGTGCGACCGACACTGCTGATTGCCCCCCGCGTCAACTGCCACCACTCCACCAATCACTAGCCGGCAACGCTCCTGCCCGGCACATCGGCCTACCAAGCGATCGTGCGCGCTTGAGGCTGCCCGTGGCACTAAGATTGTCATGTGTTACCGGGCCTGGTGAAGAGGGGCATCGGAGCATGATGGAGCTTGGGATGTCCAGCGAACTCTGGGATGGTCGGAGCTGCAAAGGCCGAGCGAGGAGCTTGGCTATATGCAATATGTTGAAGCCGGGGTCGCCGGACGGAGTCGAAAGATGACCACGGCGTTTTCTGTATGTATTTCGCATCATTTGCACAACTGTCGATGATTAAAGCTAAATTTCATTACCGAAAAACTTCAAAACTGCGCGACGAGGCTACCAAGCGTCGTCTCTCCGGCGTCGGCGTACGCCAGCAACAAAAACGATTTCAACAGGATGCCCGGAAACAACACAGGCCGACCGGCAGGGCGGCCCGGGGGCAGCGGCGCGACACGCTGGCCTCACGCGGCCCGGAAGCGGGCACTTCCGGCGGCGGCGGCGGCGGCAGAGGCGGGCCGCCACCGACCAGCGGCGCCGGGCTCGGCCGTCGGCCCCGCCCACCTCGCCGGTTCGGCCGCACGCGCTCCAAAAAAGAAAACACGTACACATCACGGATAAATAAAAAAACAGCTAATCGGGCGAGGAGCGGTCTGAAGTCTGGTGTATCCGGGGCGGCGGCCGCTCTCACTGGGAGCGCCGCGACCAGGCCGTATAAAAAATCGGGGTTAGTCCGCGCCGACCCGGCTATAAATAAGTATATATATATGTATGTATATAACACGACGGCACCACACGGGAAGACTACGCTAGGTCCATGTCAACAATCACTGTAGCATTATGTACAACGTGGGACGTGTTAATGGAGCCAGGCTGGCGGCTGCGGCCGGTCGGGAGAGGGCCGCGTGGGGCCGCCCACGCTGCGGAGACATTTTTGGTCACGTTATTGCTTGGTGCGCGGGCGCCACGATGGCAGACCGGCCGGCACTTGTACAGGTGGCGCGTGTTGGCGGCAGGCGCCCGCAGCCCGCCGGCTGAGGGCGGCCGGGCGAGCCGGCGGAGGCGGAGTCAACGGGCGGCACGCGGCGTCGGCCGCACGGGCTGAAGGCGGGCGGTGCTCCCCGAATCGGGGGACGTCGGCGGCCGAGACGTGAGCTGCTTGTCGACCGTCGCTGGTACCGAGTCCGGTACCCGTGCCGCGGAGCAGCGGCGGCGGGCGTGACCGGCAGTGCTGGTCCGGTTCGGAGGGCCGACTCCGTCTGGTCGCCGACGGAGCGGCCCGTCCGTCGCGGTCCGGCGCGGTCCCCACGCCGGCCAGACCGGCCACGCGCCCGGCCAAGGCGCAACGGGTCGACGAGAGGCTGACGACGCTGTGCGATCCAGCGCGACGCCGGGGCGGACGGCGCAGGCGCGGGCCCATCGTGCCCCGGACAGGCCCTTCACAACCTCACGCTAGAAGTCCGCAGGCGCACTGTCCGCTCAGGGGAAATGTGAGGCGACTGAGGTGGGCTGCCGGCGCAACGTCGCCACCGAGACGGCCCGTCACGAGCCGACTACCAGAGGAACGGAAGTGAAGAAGCAACGTCTGCTTCGGACGACCGAAGGAGACAAGTTTGTAGTGAGCTCATAGTAGAGCAGCGCACTGTGCCAGCCGCATCACGAGCTGGCGCCGGCGAACACCCCCTCAGGGCCACGTCATCTACCGCGTGTCGACTCCGCTACAAGCTCTTTCCGTGCGTGGATGAGTACAACAAGGACCTCGCAGATTACTTAGTTAGCTGCGGTCAAACCACCAACGACACGCGCACCACTAGTTCACAACACGGCTAACCACGAACAGTTTACTATTGCATGAGACAAGGCAACTATTTCGGCTATCCTAGTGCCTGAAAGACCTAGCATTGCTCACGCTATCGCTAACTACGGCGGCCTGGTGGCCACGCCGCTCGGGCGGCTGGACACGCGGCATCAGCAGCAGCGGCGGCGGCGCGGCGCGGCGGTGGCGGCGGTGGCGGCGGCGGCGGCAGAGATGGAAGCGGCAGGCTAAGGCGGCGGCGGCGGCGGCCGGACGATGGCGCTCCTTCCTCGCCCTCTGTGCGGCGAACGAAACCTCGCTACTAACGCGTATCACAGAATGGGACCGCGGCCCCGACTCAAACGTTCGCTCGCCGAACAAAACGACTAGATCCACAGTGTCCCCCGCGCAGCTACCGATGCCAGCGCCCCTGGCCGGCCGTCCGGGCCGGCCGCGCCGCCGGCCGCGCGCCGCTCTGAGGCCGTGCCGGGTGGTGCGCCGCTGTCGACGGCCGCCGGACGGGCGCGGCGCGGCGCAGGCACTTCCCGGCGCGGCTTTGGCACGCGAATGGCGGCGGACGCCGCTGACTAGAGCCGCCGCCTGCCGGGCCGCCGGCTCAGGGCTGCGACTTGGCGGCCGGCGACGCTGGCGGCTGGCTCGCTGGCGACGCGCCGGCCGCCGCCGACGCCGCCGAGCCGGCCGCCGACTCCAGGGCGTCGGCCGCGTGCACCACCGAGCTGAAGTACCGATCTGGCGGCGGCAGGGGCACGCGGTGACCGTCTGGACGTGGCCCCGGGTCACGCCGCAGCGACCGGAGGCGACATACCACACACGCGGCCGCGCCGGTCCTTCCGACCAGATGGGGGCAGACACACGCGGGACTGGCGACCCGGCACGTCTGGTCACAAGGCAAAGCACGCTGCAGTCGCACTACTGCTGGCGGTTAAGAATCGAGGCTACTATGCACACCTAATCATCACATCCTGACTGCTTTATGACCCCCTCCTCCTCCCCCTCCCATGAGACTCAACCAAGCAGATCCACTGCTTTACGGACACCTGACAGTGACGTCGTCGCCACTCCTCACCGTCATCGATGATGCCGGACGGCACGTCGGAGCCGGCGGTGGCCGGCAGCAGGCTCTGCATCATGCCGTAGTCGACATTCTCCTCGAGGATGAAGTGCTGGTTCCAGCGGCCGCCGCCGGAGGCGCTGGGGGTGCCCGAGCCGCCGCCGCCGCCGGTCGAACCCGTCGACATCCGCACGACGCTGCTGGCGGCCGAGCGCGGCGGCGACGTGTACAGCGCCATGTTGGTCGGGCTCACCGAGCCGGGAATACTGGTGTACGTGTACAGCTGCGGAGAGAAGGTTCTGTCACAGCCAACAGCGAACCAACGGCGAGCAGCGGCCGCAGAACCCGGCGATACTGGCGCACGCGAACGGCTGGGGACGAGGACACAGGTCACGGGTAAGTGGGACCGCCAGCGGACGTGCACAGTCGGGTCACAGGAGACAGGGGCCGGATACACAGGACATCTGGCGCGTCTGCCGGCACAGGCCAAGGTCGCAGGGGTCAGATAAAGTCAGCCGTCGTACAGCTGCGGACAGACGGCAACTTTGAAGTGATAGCCTCATGACTGCAGTTCAAGTCGCCAGCGTTCTTCGCATCGCTCATATTTCAACGAAAAGCTCAATAATGTGCTTCGCGGGATTGCACTTCTTTCTGCCGACGGTTCCTGGCAATCGTTTGACTGTTCCCAGACAAATCAGATGCCAGAACTCCCATCTGCATCCACTTTGCAGTACGCCGCACGAGAACTGTGCTGGGCTGATTTAGACGGTTCACATATATTCCCGGGTGAGTAAACACATGGGAGGCACGCTCACACAGAGTAAGAAGTTCCTTAAACAACTTAAGTTAACAAGTCATGCGACGTTGCTCACAGCAATGTTGCAAGCCACAGAAACAAGCGCATTTTTAATACCAGGTGCATTCTGACGGGCTGGAGCACACACCGGCGTTACATGACCCTTGAGAGTGTGGAACCGGCCCTGAACAACACCAGCCATCCGCGATCCATGCCAATTCGGCCTGTGCACATTGAATTCATTTGTTAGAGATCTACAGGCATGTGACACTTGAAACGCTAAAATTCCTTGTTTTTTGTTTAGCTAAAAGAGTTGGCGAAAAGCTGCGTAGCAGCAAATGTGGGTTTGACGAAAAAAATGCGTGACAGCAAATAATGCGACTGGTTATTTTTTATCATTTTGGGCATTTTTTGTCCCTTTACGATGCACGCTGTCTTCATAACGGGACTTGGGTTGCGATGCACGAACCGCAGGCTCCAAAAGTGATGAAAGATCAGCTGCCAAAACCCGAATAAGGTCAGCCCAACGTTCGCGGGCAAAACAAGGCCACGGCCAGCGCTGCCGAGATCACGTTTTGTGCGCAGCAGTGAGTCCCAATCTGCCATCAAAGTGTATCACCTAGCCCGACACAGTGACCCGATCGTATCTCAGTTAGTCTCCCATGCTATGACCAGCTAAACAAAAACACAATCGACCGCACGCCGATGTACCAGGAGCCGGTTCCAAAGCCAGGGTACACCAAGCGCAGAAGCAGACAGCAGAAAGTGTTGTGGCAGAGCGAAGAGATCAGCGACTTCACCCTAAGCCAACTGAAAGGGTGCGGGGAACCCGGCCGGCGAGCCGAAGCGTGTAGATGACGGCGTGATGAAGCCACCAGACAGCACCGGTGTCGTTCGAGCCAGGGTCTCACCGAGCCCCGAGTCACTGTCTCAGCGAGCCCAGGGCCAGCGTCTGATCGAGTCCCCAGCCATCGTCTGACCGAGTCCCGAGCCACCGTCTGACCCATCCCCGAGCCACCGCCTGACCGAGCCCGAGCCACCGTCTGACCGAGCCTCGAGCCACCGTCTGACTCATCCCCGAGCCACCGCCTGACCGAGCCCGAGCCACCGTCTGACCGATCCCCGAGCCATCGTCTGACCGAGTCCCGAGCCACCGTCTGACCGATCCCCGAGTCACCGTCTGACCGAGCCCCGAGCCATTGTTTGACCAAGCCCCGAGCCACCGTCTGACCGAGTCCCGAGCCACCGTCTGACCGAGCCCCGAGCCATCGTTTGACCGATCTCATCTGAACCCATTTCATCACGCCCGAGGCACCATCTGACTGAGCCGGCAGCGCGGGCCGAACAGTCTCCAGGAGTGAAGCACCAGTAGCGCCACAGTGCGGTCACGACTGGGCGACAGTTGAACGATTACCCAGCTGAAGAGCGAAGTCGCGCCGGCATTAGCGGGGCATGTGCCGGGCGAACGGAACAGATCAGGCTACGCAACCCTACAGCACCGCTTCAAACCGTGCAAGGACGCGCGCGACCGCCCGCAGAGCTGCTCCTGTACTGGAATGCACCCATGTGCACGCGACCATGGGTCGGAAGGAACACTGATCGTGCGATCCACGGAGCGCCGCGCTAAAGACACAAATCGTCGGCAGCAGGCAGCGCAGAATCCCGATACTGCGGCGCAGCTGGCGGAGACTGCCGCTCGAGGTGCGGCCGTCGGCGGGCACGTGGTCCGGGCAGCGCACAAGCTGGAGGAGAGCCAGTAAACGCCACGGCTTCTGGTGAGGCACAAGCTCAAAACGCGGGTGCTGGCAGAGAGCGGCTCTCAGTAATGAGAAAGCTGATAGCTGGCAACAGCAGCTCTGTTAGATGTGATAACTGGCGGAGAAAAGGTCACATATGTGCCGGAAGAGTGACAGAAAAGCCATGGGATGAGTGGTAGCCGACAGCTGTGACAGTAGCTAGCCCCTGGAGTCGTGACGGGAAGACGGGGGCCCTTTGAGCCGTAGCAGACAGAGGAGCCCTTTGGGCCGTGGCTGACAAAGAGGAGCCCTTTGAGCTGTGGCAGACAGAGGCACCCTTTAAGACGTGGCTGGCAATGAGAAGCTCTTTGAGCCGTGGCTGACAGACGAGCCGTTTGAGCCATGGTTGAGAAAGCACCCCTTTGAGTCATGACGGACAGAGAAGCCCTTTGAGCCGTGGCTGACAAAGAGGGGCCCTTTGATCCGTGGCAGATACAGGAGCCATTTGAGCCGTGGCCGGCAGAGGAACCCTCTGACCCCTTGCAGACAGAGGAGCCCTTTAAGCAATGGCTGTTGGAGGAGCCCTCTGGGCCATGGCAGACAGCGAAGCCCTTTGAGCAATGGCTGACAAAGAAGCACTTTAAGCCGCGGCTGACAGACAGGAGCCCTTTGAGCTAGATCAAATGGAGGAGCCCTTTGCGCTGTGGTGGACCGAGTAGAGCGTTCTGAGCTTTGAAACGCAGAAGGGCCATTTGAGCCATGCCAGCCAGAGAACAGCCCTTTAAGCTGGCCGGACAGAGGAGCCCTTTGAGCAGTGTCGGACAGGGAAGAGCTCTTTGAGCCGTGCCAGGCAGAGGAGCCCTATGAGCCGTGACAAACAGAGAAGCCCTTTGAGCCGTAGCAGACGACAGAGAAGAGGAGCCCCTTGCGCTGCACCAGCTGGCAGAGAGGCGGCGGCAGAGTACAGAGCGCGCGGCAGCCCGGGGCGGCGGCCAGAGCAGGCGGCGGCGCGGCCGGCTGGCGCGGGCGGCGCGGCGGCCGCCGGCTCACCTGGCCGGTCACCGCGTGCTGCACCAGCGTGATAACGGGACTGCCGCGCCGGCCGGCCGGCTCCGGGCTGGCCTGCAACACGTCACACCGCGTCACGTCACGTCTGGACGGCGCGGACAGGCGCCGGCCGCGGGCGGCGCCGGTCAGGGTTATTCCGACAGAACGCGACGGGGCCGGCCCGGGCGGGCCGCGCCGGCCGCCCGCTCACCTGGCCGTTGCTGGAGCTGCTCGGCGGCGACGTCATGCGCTCGCCGGCGGCGTCCGTCTCCATGACGACCGAGACGGCGTGCGGCGAGACGGCGTGCGCCGACGGCGGCGAGGCCTCGCTGCCGCAGGTGACGTCCGCTGCCGGGCGGCCCGACGGTCAGAGGTGACCAACGCACTGACGGCGGCGCCACAACCACGCGCGGGCGCGACGCCGCACAGCAACAAAAGACCCGCTACGAGTCAAAACATGACGCTTTGAGAATATGGGAATCACATCACCTTAGTTTTGTCACAAGTGAAAAAGAGCGGAATGCATCTGGGCCGAGCACTTCGCTATTCTGGCACAAGTTGACCTGTGAGTGCCACACGCGCGCGCACACGCCAGGGGCGCGATAGCCACACCCCAGCTCGTCAGACCAGGCGACGGACGCATTATGGGCCAGCCTTAGCCGCGCTCACGCACAGGGAGGACGGCGCCCCCGCGGCGGCGACGGCGGCGGCGACCAAGCGCCGCGGCGAACCTCACCCGTGGAGCGGATGATGGCCACCGGCCGCACCATGGGCGGCGGCGGCCAAGCGCCGCGGCGAACCTCACCCGTGGAGCGGATGATGGCCACCGGCCGCGCCATGGGCGGCGGCGACCAAGCGCCGCTGCGAACCTCACCCGTGGAGCGGATGATGGCCACCGGCCGCGCCATGGGCGGCGGCGGCGGCGGAGGCAGCATGCTGCTGTTGTAGTACTTGTGCTGGCGGCCGGCGGCGCTGGAGACGGACAGCGTGCCGGTGGGCACCGACGCCTGGCGGCACAGAAAGGCCGCGACGCCGCTCAGCGCGCCGCCCCGCACGTCGCACGCCGCACGCCGCACGCCACGCGCCCCGGCCCCGGCCGCTGCCGCCGGCCGGCGGCCCCCCCGCATAAGGAGCAGTCACAAGGCATCTTTAACGGTACGCGGCTCGAGGCCGTTTGCACAATGCGAATCCCGTGCAACAGCGGCGCAGTCTAGCCCAAAATCACTTGTCACAACGCAAGCGCTGCGCAAAACCTACGTCGGCCAAAGCTCGTTTGACGTTTCTACGCGCTCGCGTGATGCAAATCAGAACGGGCCGCGTGCGCACGCCCGGAAACACAGCAGACCGCGGCGGCCCTCTCACCTTGCCCTCCTTCCAGAGCAGACGGCTGTCGTTAGCTTTAGTTATGGTCGACGACTTCCACGTCTAAAACAACACCCAGCGGTCAGGCGTTACCAAGGGAGCTCATGCAGCACAAGCCTGGGCGGGCAGCACAAGCGGGCCAAACGAAACGCCACTAACGCCAAGCCTAGGCCTTGCTGCGGCCAGTGCGGGACAACAGAAATCACACACACACGCACACACACACACAAACCGACGCTGAGAGCCGGGGCGGCCGGCGCTCAGCATGACGACAACCGAACACAAATGGGGGAGGGAGCGATGACTGAGCGGGCGGCCTCTCAGTCGCCGCGGCATTCTCATTCTCCGCCTCAGTCGCTGCAATCTCGGTATCTACAGTACGCAGGCACATCTCAGGACCAGTCTCCTGGACCAGCTGAGGACTCTAAGTGCACGCCGCCAGTCAGCACTGCAATCAGCGTCAGTCCCAGTCTCCGGGGTGGCCCTCAGCACAGTCCTTCAGCTGGCCGCCCAGTCGCTGGTCTAACCCCCAGTATCTCCGAAAGATGAGGCCTCTGCACCCGTTCAATGGTAGCGTCAGCACGTCCGCCACACCACCGCAATCCCATCCCACGCCCACGGAGTCTCACCCTGAGGCCCGTTTCCACAATGCCGGTCTCGGCCCCAGTCCGCCAGTCTGAGGCCGTCTGTCCGCCGCCCAGCCGCGGCTCGCGCCCCGCGCCACTGCTCACCTGCGGCTGCGTGTTCTGCGCCTCCTGGCACACCAGCGTGACGAAGTCGGAGAAGGTGTCGTGCCCGTTCTCCTGGTACTTGCCCGGGCTGTGCTCCGACTCCTGGTAGTAGCTGGCGCTCGGCAGGATCATGTTGGAGAGGCCGGCTGCCGGGCGGGGGAGGCCCGGGTCAGCGGCCGACGCACCCCGGACACGGCTCAGGGCGACCATCCAACACCGCCAGGGGAGCAGGATAGCCCGGCGGACGTGACCGCCGAGCGTGAGCGTCAGCTCGGCACCACGCGATCGGACGCCGTCACGCGCCCAAACCGGCCGGCCACCAATCGGCGCCATCACAAGACGGCGGCGCTGCGTTAGTGGGCGGGCGTGTTACACACAGACACGCACACGGCTGGCAAGGACGCCTCTGCTACACGGACAGACAGGTGGGGTTGCGGCTCCACGCCCGGCCGGCAGCGCTCGCCGCCGGCGTCAGGCTGGCACACTCTACGGTGGACGGGACGCCGCGCGCCGCCAGCTCGGGGTCTGCCCACCGACGGTGCCGCCTACCTCTCTCCGGCGTCCGAGCGCCTGCCGCCGACCGACCCCGCGCTCGCCACCCAGCCCGGTGAACGCGACCGCCGCGGCCGGTCCGTTTACCTTCTCTGTGGTGCGGACTGCCGGCCGGCCGGTGCTCCTGGCCTGAGGGCTCCGATGAGGGGGCGCGCACGAGGGGAAGGGCGGCGGCGGCTGCAGGAGAGGGGCACACGGTTAGTGGCTGCGGGCACGCGCAACGCGAACGCGCACGCGCACGCGCACACGCACACGCACACGCACAGGGCGCGGTCACACTCCAGCGAGTCCAGCAGGGCCAGAGAGGAGAGAGAAAGAGAGAGAGAAAGAGCAAGACGACAGACAGACAGACGGACAGACGGACAGACAGAGAGTGAGAGGGCGGGGCGGGCGGGGGCGGGGCGGGGCGGGGGTTAGATCGCCGGCTGTCCGTCTGTACAGCATGCCCGGGACGGCGGTACAACGGCGCGCGCGCGCGCGCGCGACACTACAGGGCGCGGCCCGGGCGGCGTGCACCGCTCACCGAACGTGCTGTGGTCGACGTCGGCGTGCCACGAGCCCTGGGAGGCCAGCGAGACGGGCGACTGGCCGTAGTAGCCGATCTCGGCCTGCCGGTCGCGCTCCTCGTCCGAGCTGAGCCGCCGCAGCCGCTTGACGCGCGGCTCGGCCGCCGGACTGTGCGAGGTGCGAGGCATCGCCAGGCCGCCGCCGCCTCCGCCACCGCCGCCACCCGCTGCACGCACGGCGGCGCCACCGTCAGTCAGACGGGCGGGCGGCGCGCGCTCGCACGCACGGCGGCGCCACCGTCAGTCAGACGGGCAGGCGGCGCGTGCTCGCACGCACGGCGGCGCCACCGTCAGTCAGACGGGCAGGCGGCGCGCGCTCGCACGCACGGCGGCGCCACCGTCAATCAGACGGGCAGGGGACGCGCGCTCGCACGCAGCGGCGACGGCGCCAACACGGGGCCGCGGCCGAGTGGCAGCCGGCGCCAGCGGCCAGAGAACACAGCGCTGTGTGCCGCCAGGTGCCGGCTCAGCGTCAGGCAGCCGTCGGAGCCCTCCTGGACAGCGGCAGACAGCGCACACCCGCAGGAGCCGCCGGCACGATAACTACCGCCGCCGTCAACGCCCCTGACCCGGCCTCACCATCGATGCCACCGTTAACAGCGCTCGTACGGCACACATGGAGACAAGGTCCACACATTCCTGTTTAGATCATGCGCTGGTGACCGGGCCGGGGCCGATGACTGGTAGCCGGGTGGCCGGGTGGCAGGGGCCGGGGACGGGGCCGGGTGGCCGGGTGGCCGGGGGTGGCACTCACAGTAGGCGCCGGAGACGAGCAGGCCGTGGTGGTCGGGCGCCGGCGGCGTGTAGCTGCTGCAGTAGTAGTTGACGGACGAGTTCTCCACCTTGATGGTGGTCAGTGTGGCCGGACTGATGCCGTTCGGCGAGACGATCGAGCCTGGCGAGACGCGCACCGTCGTCAGCGGGCCGCCGCAGGGGCACACGCCACGGGCACACCACACTCCCGTACAGCACCGGCCGGCTCAGGTGATCACGCACGCACCAGTGGTGACGCGCCCGCCGTGCCTTTCGCTGGTGCCCTGCAGACGGGCGCGCAACACTTCATGCGGTACAGGTGAGCGCCAGCAGACGTCAGACGTCCTGGACAGTACGTGCAGCAATCAAGACAAGTCGACGATTTGCTTGGTGGGTGACAAAAAAGTTGCTGGGGTTTCAGGCCGCGCGCCGGCTCGGACGCCCAGCCCCGTGCAGCAATCAGCGGGAGGTCCCCGGCCGCCGCAGTCGTCCAACGAGCCCCGCACCTCGGTCCCCGCACCTCGGCCGCCCCCATCCGCGGTCCCCGGCACCCTTTCGCCGGCCGCCCTCTCATTCCTCATCATTTGCCGGGCGGCGATTGAGCCGAGTCGCGGCCGCTGGAGGTGATCGGGCCGCCGCTCGGGGTGCATTAATAGGCCGCCGCCGCCATCCGGTGCAGACCCCCTCTGTCGCTCGCCGGCAGACCGCCGCGCACGCCGGCGCCGGGACCGGCACGCGGACCGGCGCGGGCGACCGCGGCCGCGCTCCGTCGCAAAGAACAAGCGAACGGGCGCAACTACATCACGGCACGCCGCGAGACGAAATCGCTGCACTGTGAGTGTAACATAACCCTCGAGGGCACCTTTACAGCATGACTAGCATGGTTTAAGCAAAACAGACATGAGCACTAAGTGATCAACTGTGGACCATTGTTCCAAATGGCATCATCTTGTAAAAGGGTGACAATGAGGAACTATGCATTCCTGAGAACTGAAAGACCTCCTTTGTGGGTCCTTTACTTCTTCTGATATAAACATGCCTAGATATTCACGCTAATATAGTTGATACTGGCGTTAGTATGTACTAACGTTAACAGCAAATGACAATTTCCCGCAGCCGAACACGGGAGAATAAGTGGCTGACCAGCACCTGAATGGGAGGAACGGACAAATTTCCTGGCATCAAAAAGTTATATGCTGATAGTTTTTGACGTTTCCATCAGTGCCCCATGATCGGGGTGACATCCAACTCCGTTGAGGAAGATGCAGCAGCCTCCCAGCACCGATGTCTCTCATCCTCTGAGCCCCCGCACCGGCCGACCGGGCGCTGCGCGTCACACACCCAGACCGCGCCGTATGCACGCCGCACTCTCGGCAACAAAGCGGCTAATGCGGCGCACGGCGCTCAACAGCGGGCCGATTAGGGGCCGGCGAATCCATCACTTTTACGGCGCTGTTTTGCGGGCGCAGGCGAGCGGCGGCGGTGGCGGCGCGGCCGCTTCATTTCCGCCGCGCGAGTGACACCGGGCCGCGTCATTAGCTGGCGCCGAGGGTCGCTCTCGGGCGCCGTCCGGCCGCCACACTGCGCCCGGCCGCCCACTCCGTCAGCGCGGCGCGGCGCGGCGCGTTGCCGGCCGGTGCCCGGCGGCCCGACCTGGCCGGTCCGTGTCAGCACGGTCGCTGCCAGGGGCGTGGCCGGCGGCGGCCCGCGTCCCCCGCGTCGGCGGCGGCGCATGATTTGCGCGGCCCGGCGCTGACACGGCACGGGCGGCGGCCGGGCCCGGCGCGAGCGGCGCCGGCTGCGGGACACTGTCGTCGCCCATCACCCCGCACGAGCGGCCGGGGACCGCCGGCCAGCCCCGCTCAAGGCCGCCGGGGCGGGCCGGGCGCCCGTGCGTCTTCCGAAGGAATTTACTGAAGGGGCTGCTTGACGTCTATGTCGTCGGTGAGCCCGTGTGAGACGATTGCATCCAGCTCAGGGGAGAGCTAATGGGGCAAATCAAATGAACTACTCCTGTGTAATTTGATGAGGTTTTGATATCGAGTTGTCTTTTTGATGACTTCCAAAATACGTCACGATTAATTCAATGAGCCATCAGGGAAACGGAGGGGAGGGGAGGAGAAGTAACACACCTAAAGAGCTATATCTTATCAACCACAGACTCGAATTCAAGGCACGAATGTAAGGGAATTTTTAACCTGCATTATCTAACAATATTTTTAAAAAATACAACGACTAAGAAAGCCTTCATCCCCTATTGCCTTCAAATGATTGTTTCAAATGAGTTGCGTCCAGTTCCAACGCACACGCAAAAACAAGCCCTTAGTTCCTCAGTTCCTCAATGCCTCAATTCGCATGTTACCATCATCCGCCTGCACCCTCAGCGCCGCCACCAATCTGCCGGCCCTTCCCCACCGGGTGCCGTCGGCCGCGCCGTTCCCCTTCCGCGCCGCAATCGGCGCCCGTCCCGCCGTCCGCCCGTGCTTCATTAGCCAAACGGCGCAGCAGGCCGGCCGGCCAGGTGACAATGGAGCGGACGGGCGGCGCCCAGCGCTGCCCCATCGGCTAATCACGGCCGCCAGGGGACAGAGAGACGCGCCGACGGCCGGGCGCCGATCACACGCGGCGCCCTCGGCCGACCAGCGGCCGCCGCCGTGAACGCCGCCGCCGCCTCCTACACCAGGCGCGGTGCGGGCGACACGGGCCAGACGCGCCCTCCGGTCACGGCTTGCTGGCTTACGCCACCGCTGTCCAATTCAGGGGCGTGCCTGGCGCGATGGCCGCCGCGCTTGGGACGGCGGCTGGTAACGCACTCTCGGCTCCAGCCATACTCGAAAAACGAGCAGGCGCCCAACGGAGAGTTCGAACATTTAGACGCAAAGCCGTCCCTCGTGTTTCCCAGGAGAGACATTAGCATGCGACTTCATTCGGCAGGGGCTAGTGCGCTAGTCACACTAGAAAGTCAACCTCTACTATCACATTTGGTGTCCTACCCTGGTGTTTCGGTCGTTTCCCCCGCCTTCCACCGTGTCCCGTTCTCCTCCTCCCCTTCCCCCCTCCCTCGCCCCCGGATGGGCTGACAGGAGCCGGCAAGATCGGTTGCGACACAACAGAAGGCCCGCAATCGCCGCCGGCCCGGCCGCCACCCGGCCTTTATGATCCAACTTGAGAAATTGGGCGCGCCTTGATAAACCTGCGATACGCGAAAATAATCCCGGCCCCGGTTTTACGACGGCATGCGTGGAATAAATTGGCCGGAAGCGGGTGCGGCCTGGCTTTGGAGCTGAGCACTGCGGGGCGGCGAGTCGGAAGCCGGTGGCGATAGCGGCGACGGCGATCAAGTGTCGACCGGGCGACGCGCAGGATCAGGCGGCCGAGCTGCCGCAGATCCGTCCGCCGCTCCAACACAATCCCCGAGGAGGGCGGGCGGGAGGAGCCGGCGCAGCGCGGCACCGCCGGCCGGTGGGGCCACGGCGGGGGCTGAGACGAAGCGTGGCATGGTGAGATCGGCACACAGGACCGCAGGCGGTGTGGGAGAGCTCAGGCGGTGGCGGGGGCTCCAGGGCCAGGGCGTCCGGCCTGCGACCCCAGCCGACGCCGGGCGCGCCGGCCAGCTGGCCACTTACCCCGAGAGAGGCGCCACAGCTCGGACGACGAGAACACGCCCGTGGTCATGACCGTGTCGTTTGGCAGCACCCCCGTGTACGGGTTGTGGTTGTAGTGACCTGCCGATGCAAGACAGAGGGCGCTCACAGAGCGGCCGGCGCCGGACCAGACCGGCGCGCGCCACGGCACCGCTCCCCGCCACGGCCCGCGGCGGCTCACACTTGGAAACGAGCCCAGCACGACAGCACAGCCAAACACCCCAGCCACACTCACGGGCGAGCGGACCCGGCCGCTGCAAAGCGTTCAGGGCTGGCTGCAGGTCAAACGCATGTCCTTAAGGGTCACGCACGCAGTGCAGTGAGACACGTGGAGGGCAACTGGGCATCAGCACGTCGGGCAATGTGCAGGCAGTCCGGAACGCGACGCCGCTCCTACCGGCGCTCCGGTCGGGCACCGACAGCATACATCAAGGGAACCGGTCCGACCAGAGCGCGAACCAAAACACCGCCCGACGTGCAGCTGCTCAGGGGGCGAACGGCCGTGGCAAATGGGGCACAGAGTACCTACAGACAGCTTCAGACAGGCCCCGGACGGGAGGCGGAACGTTCACAGGCGCTGCAGCACGCCACCGGCCGGGGCTATGGACAGCACAGGCGTCTCATCACGGCGGAACGTTCACAGGCGCTGCAGCACGCCAGCGGTCGGGGCTACGAACAGTACAGGCGTCTCATCACGGCGGAACGGGGCACGACAGGTGGTCAAAGCCGCAATCGAGCAACGCGAGACGCGGACGGGCCGCCTGACACTCAGCACAGGACTATCACATGGAAGAGATGGCATTGTGCAGGAGCACGCAAGGAACAGGACAGCGTAGCAATATTCGGCGGGATACATGTAGCGGCAGAGAACTGACGAGACGGGTCTACCAACATAGACTCCGCTGGACACGTGGGAGTAGTACATGGCGACATCTGACTGAACAAATCGGACGGCGGAGGAATACCTGATAGGTGAGCGGGAATACGGGGCATATTTCATTGAGACGAAGGAATTACACCGAGACGTTCAGCTGGCAGTAAGGTACTGCGCCTGACTGCAGAGACGTTAATGCGCCACCAGCGCCGGTGGACAGGTGGGCCAAAGCCCGTGATGAATGTTGTTACCGCCACCTGCCGCGCAGATCGGGTACCAGTCCAGAAGCCCGCCGACTAATGACCCCAACGTCAAAATATATTGCCCATTGGTGAGAGAACCAAATTAAAGACCTGTTTTTTGTTTGTTCTGCGAAATGGAGACATGCCAACAGCTACATCAGGAATGCATCTCGTAAAACTGACTGATTTTCGGTTGGGAGTCGTCCGTTGCAGCATGATCACGGATGCGAATGCATGACGCAATACGGCTGAACGAACTTCATAAAAACAGCTTACTGAATGCGGCTAGACGCTATCAATCCTTTCTGAAAGCATTTCGATGGTGGAGCGGCACGCATTCGCTGCGCTCTGGCCGCGGCGGCGGCCGGGCTGGCAGCGTCGGCGGCCGCCCCAAGCCGCCCTCCAGGCACGGAGCGGCCGGCGCCCGCTACCCGCGGCCCGGCGTCCGCCGGCGGCGCCACTCGGCGCGAGCCGCGCCCGGCGCCGGTCGCCGGACCCGCGGGCTGGCAGGCCGGCCGCCGGCGCTGCCAGCGCGGCCGCCGCGTCACCGCCGGCCGGCCGCGACACTTGGCCGCCGCCGCATGGAGTTTTGGCAAATCGGCGTGTGCGTGCGGGCGGCCGGCCCGGTCACATGTGGTTGTTGGCGGCGGCGCTACTATTGGCTGGCGGCCGCTGGAACGGCGCCGCCGGCCAGTTGGCATTAATTGGAGGGTCAGGGCGGGCGGCCGGGCGGGCTGGCGGGTGGCACGCAGACGGCGCCCGGTCAGCACCGGCCATTGAGAGCGCCGCCAGGTGCAGGTGGCGCCACTGGCGCCGTGCCCTGCCGTGCACGTGCAGCCCGGGCCGAGGATGAGGAGTCAGCTGAGCTGACGGACAACCGGCTGATTTAGGGGCTCGATGGCGCGGAGAGGGCTTGGCCTGCCAAAACGCAGACGAGACCCGAAGGACTCCCGCCGCATCTGTTGACAAATGGAAGCGCGGCGTGCAGAACTGAGGACATGGGCTGTTGAGACAGGTGCGGCGCGCGGGCTTGTAAAGAGTGCAGGCAGACAGTCAGGCAGGCTAGTAAAGAGTGCAAGCAGATAACTGGGCAGGCTTGTAGAGTGCAGGCAAATATCTAAGAAGGCTTGTAAAGAGTGCTCACAGACAGCCATGTTAGGCAAGCAGGTTAACGAGAAAGGTTGGTCTCGGTTCTACAAGCACTCGTGCTCTGACGTCACCGTGCGTCTTCCAGAAAAAAAAATCCGACAGCCATAGGACACACCAACGGCTTCCGAAGAGTGTATGGACGTGTGCCAAAACGTAACGTTATCTAGACGACGAGCCACAGCTTCTAAAGACCTTAAAATAGCCGACTGCCGACCGAACAAGCCTGCCACCAGCCCTCGTCCGTCGCCGCCTACAGAAAAGACGGACAGGCCTCGGTAAGCTCTAAGAACAACACGTCCAGGCAGGTCTAGCGGCACGGAGCGGACCGGTGGCCGGCTCCGGGCGCCTACGGCCCGGCTGGCGGCGCGGCCGCGGCCGCCGACGCGGCGTGCATGGCCTCACCGTAGTGGAAGCAGCCGCTGAGGTCTGCTCCGTTCCACTGCTGAAGGTACATGGACGGGTGGTGGTGGCCTTGCGGGAAGCACGCAGAAAGAGAGAGAGAGACAGAGAGGGAGAGAGAAAAAGAGAGCGGCGGTTAGTGGAAGCGGCGACAGGGCCTAGCTAGCGTTAGTGGCTACACAGCGAGCAGCCCGCCTGCCGCAGCGGAGGCACCTGCGAGGAGGTGCAGCACGCGCTGGTGACGGCCGGCCTCACGACAGAGCCGGGAGGAGTGCAGTCTGGGAGCGGAGAGCGGTGGAGCGAGGGAGCGAGGGAGCCGGCGGTCGGGCAGCGCAGGGTGGGGAAAAGAGGTGGGACGGGGATGAAAGGCATCGGATGACGTCAGAGAGCTTAACAATGGAACGCCGAGGAGACGGCGTCTGATGAGCACAGGGTAGATGGGGCGGCGCCTGATGAGCACAGGGTAGATGGGGCGGCGCCTGATAGCGTCAGGGAAGGTAAGACAACATCGGATGACGTCAGAGAGCTTAACAGTGGAACGCCGAGGAGACGGCGTCTGATGAGCACAGGGTAGATGGGGCGGCGCCTGATGAGCACAGGGTAGATGGGGCGGCGCCTGATAGCGTCAGGGAAGGTAAGACAACATCGGATGACGTCAGAGAGCTTAACAGTGGAGCGCCGAGGAGACGGCGTCTGATGAGCACAGGGTAGATGGGGCGGGCGCCTGATAGCGTCAGGGAAGGTAAGACAACATCGGATGACGTCAGAGAGCTTAACAGTGGAACGCCGAGGAGACGGCGTCTGATGAGCACAGGGTAGATGGGGCGGCGCCTGATAGCGTCAGGGAAGGTAAGACAACATCGGATGACGTCAGAGAGCTTAACAGTGGAACGCCGAGGAGACGGCGTCTGATGAGCACAGGGTAGATGGGGCGGCGCCTGATGAGCACAGGGTAGATGGGGCGGCGCCTGATAGCGTCAGGGAAGGTAAGACAACATAGGATGACGTCAGAGAGCTTAACAGTGGAACGCCGAGGAGACGGCGTCTGATGAGCACAGGGTAGATGGGGCGGCGCCTGATAGCGTCAGGGAAGGTAAGACAACATCGGATGACGCAGAGTGGCGATCAGCACCTAACGATGCCAGGGAAGACGGGATAGCACCCGATGACGTCAGGGAAGACGGAGCAGCCCCTGATGACATCAGGGAAGATGGGGCAGCCTCCGATGAGGTCAGGAAAGGTCCCTGGTGACATCAGGAACGGCGCATGATGACGCTAGGGAAGACGGGGCAGGCCCTGATGACGTCAGGGGAGAGGGGGCGGAGCCTGATGACGCGAGCCGGCCGCCGGCTGTCGCCGCCGCCGGCCAATCATTTATCATCGGTGCCGTATCTGCGGCGTCGGTGTGTTTTGATGGCGGCGCGGCGGCGGCTGGAGGGCAGCCAGCGCGGCCCGGCCGCCCTGGCGCCGCGCCCTGGCCGGCCCACCCGCCCCCCGGTCGCGGCAGACCTTTTCTGTGTCGTCGGCGACGCGACGCCGGCCGCGGCTGATTAGTTGGCACGACTCCGACGGCAGGGCGCACCCCAGGGCGGTCCCCGTCGGCGCCGACGCCGGCGAGTGCGGAGGGCGCCGCGCGGGTGCGGGGTCAGCAGGGGTGGGAGCGGGGCCCGAGCCGGCGCGGATGGAGCGGGCGGTGGGATAACATGGCGCACATCGGACCCGTTAGATCAGTGTGAGGGAAAACGAGTCATTTTGGCGCAGTGCGCTATGTCGTCATTCTACAAGCTTGAGTGATCTGCATTTTAGGCGCGATTCCCCACGCCTCTTTTAAAAATCAGCTCCCCATTGGACCGTCACCACCACCGAACACGGCGGAGGGCCATGTATTCCTAATGCAACCATCCACAGAATACCCCACAGCGTCCGCGCCCCAAAACGTTAGCCTACGACAACGAGACGCCCGCCGGCAAACAGAAAGTTCTGCAGATCTCCGAATCTGCGCCGCGTTCGCAACGACCTTGCGAACGACTGGCTGCGAGCGGCGCGCTGCTCAGGAGGACGGCAGCACGTCCCTCCAGAGCGGCTCCGAGCCGCCGCCGACGCGAGGCCGCCCGGTCGGCTCGCGTTGCCACATGCAAATGCCGGCGTCACTGCGTTTTCGGCCCGCTTTACGACGCAATAGCGCGCGCGGGCCCGGCGCCGTTTGGCCGCCGCCCAGACGCCTGCAACAGAACGGCGCCGCGCCACTTTTAGCCGCGCGCGCGCGCGTCACCGCTGCCGCCATCTCATCCGGCCGCCGGCCGCCATTTCGTAGCTGCGTTCTTTGGTCTTGCTGTCTGTCATCTCCGACGCCGGTCATCGGGCCGTCCATCTTACGAACGCGCATCCGTATGCGTGTCCTTCCGTCCGTCCTCCGTGCATCTGCGCCTCCCACTGTCCGTCCATTGTTCCTCTTGGCCATTCCTCTGTCCGTTCGTCCGCCTTCTCCATCCGCCCGTCCGTCCGCCGCTCTTGCCCGCCGCTCACTCGGCCACACATCTGTGCCTTGCCGGTCTGTCCACTGTCCCCGGGCGCGCCTGCCGTCTCCGCCTGCCGGCGCGGCCGCCCTCGCCCGCCGTCCCAGCCAGCGCGCGGCCGTCTGCTGTCCTCACGTGCCGCTTCCCCTGCCCTTAGCCGTCGCCAGCTCGTGGTCGTGCCGACCAACAAGTGCGGCCGGTGGCCAGCGCGGCCCGCGCCAGTTTGGCCGCCGCGCCGCTTTGGAAGCCGGCCGGCTGGCGGCCGCGGCCAGCCAGACGGCCGAAATTTGGGCCGTTTGTCGGAATTTTTCCTGGCGATGATCCCTGGCGCACCCCCCGGCCGAAACAACCACCATGGATCTTGGCATGGCGATGCCCTCATAGGCAGATGTAAATATTGGCTCCCTTTATTGGCAAAGACGGCGGACGGCGGCGGCGGCGCTGGCGCTGGGGCCGTTTTTCACAGTGCGGCCGGCGCGGCCGGTGAGGCGAGAGGTCAGCAGCGCCGGAGGGCCAGCCGCCGCACGCCACGTCCGTCCAGCGCCGGCCGTCCACACCAGCGGTGCCGGTGAGCTGAGGAGCGCCGGCCCTCCGCCGGCCACCTCTCCCCCAGCCCTCTGTCGGTCGCCGATCGCGGCCCGCATACCGTGCGGCCGGCGCCGCTGCCGGCGCCTGCAGCCGACGCCCCAGTGAGCCGCCGCCGAGCCCCGGCCGCCTGCTCGTCGCCAGCTGTCCGTCGCCGCGCCAGCTGCCTCTCCCGCGCGGTCCCCCGCGCCGCGCGCAGCTGTCTCGTTCACGGCGGCGGCGGCGGCGGGGACCACGGCGCCGCGTCTCGACGGCCGGTCAGCGCGCAGCACGCGCGTCCTCCTCGTCGGCGTCGGCGGCGTCGGCGGCGGGCGGCGCCTTATTTGGCGCGGTCGGCGGCTCCCGTTACGGCAGCGACGGCCGGCCGCAGACGGCGCCGCTGCGGGAGCCGCTGCCGCCGACGGCTCCGACCCCCGCAGTGGGAGCCGCCGGTGGCCGGCCCGCCGCCGGAGCCGCTGCGGAAGGGTGGCGCTGGCCGGCGCTGCGGTCCAGGGCCACCTCGCCGGCCGCCGTCGCGTATTTCGGGCCGCGCCGAAATAGCCTGACACCGTTGGCAGGAGGCCCGGCCGCGCCGGGGCCGCGGTTCGGCTCGAAGTGCGCCGGTCGGCTCCGCGGGACGCCGTGCGAAGAGCTCGGCACGACGGCCGGGCTGGCCGACCGGCCGGCTGGCTGGTGGTGGCCGGCACCGGGACCGGCTCGCGACAACACCGGCCGTCTGTCCACCCAGGGACGCGGCTAGGCGCCAGGCAGCCCTGCAGCCGCCTCTCCCCTGATGCCGGACCTCGGCGGACACGAGGCTCGCCGCGCCGCCGCCTGCCGCCGCCGCTCGGCTCCATCCGCCTGCCTTCGAAGCCGAGCGCGGCATGGTGCCGCCCCTAGCGTGCTCGTCTAGCGAGCCTGTCGCTCGGATGGCCCTGGCCTATCCAACGTTCCCGGGCGGAAGAACACACGGCCGCGGCACGGGGCCGGTCGTGGGCGGCTGGCCAGCCGACGATCGGACTCGGCGACCCGAGCCGCTGGCCGACAGCAGGGGCCGCCGCCCCGGGCGTAGCGGCTGGGAGCCGGCCCAGCTCCGGACAATGGCGGCCCAGGCGAACCCGAGCCACTGGCCGACAGCAAGGCCGCCGCCCCGGCCGTAGCGGCTGGGAGCCGACCCAGCTCCTGACAATGGCGGCCCAGGCGCTCCCTCAGACAACAGGGCCGCTGCCCCGGCCGTAGCGGCTGGGAGCCGACCCAGCTCCGGACAATGGCGGCCCAGGTGCTCCCTCAGACCGGACGGCGAGAACGGGTTTGTGCGCTATGGGTTGACCAAAGCGCAGGGGGAACGAAGCCGGATTAGTGACTGCTTCTCTCCAGCTCATGTCTCAGCATTTGTCTAGGTGGAAGACTTGACCTCAGCGAGACAATAGCCAAATCAGTCATCCCTTGCCCAGTTTCAGCGACCGTCTCATTCAGAACACCGCCGCAACCTCCACCAACGCGGCCCAGCACTCACGGCTCCGGCACAGCCCGAGCGCGCCGTGCCATCACTACGTCCGCCGAGTCCGATCTCAATCGAAATCGGCGCACCGCAATCGGGCCAGGACGGGACGCGCGTCCGAGAGGCCGTCATGACGCAACCAATCCGGGGCACGGACGGGGGGCGGCGGCGGGGGCGTGACCCAGATCGCGCCCTCTGCCGGGTCACGGCGCGCGACTAACGACACCGCCAGCAGTGACACGGCCGGCCGGTCGGCCGCTGCCACGTGACCGGCGAGAGCGCCTCTGACCCGGTTGGGCGCCGGCGCCGGCGCCGGCCAGTCGTTGCACGGACGCCGGCCGGCCTGCGGCCGGCCAGGCGGAACCGCGCACCGCTCGGTGCTCGGCGCTCGGGGGGCGCGGCGGCCGGCGGCGCCTCCCCGGAGAAACGCGGACCGGACGCGGCCTCCGCGGCCGGCCGGCGCCGCATCGCGCGGCGAACGGGTGAAAACGCGGACCGCAATTTCTAGCCGATGCGACCGGCCGGCGCGATCGGCGGCGCCCCGAGATAATCCGACCCGCCATCGTCGCCGGCCGGCAAACGGCGCCCGGGCACGGGCCGATCTGGCAACAGGCGCGGCCCCCGCCCCGCGATACGGCCGGCGTCCGGGAGAGAGGCCGCGCCGGCCCCCGGCCGCCGAGCCCCGGTCCTCGGGCCGCCCCAAACGCCGCTCCGGCGCCGGAAGCCGCGACGGAGAGGCCAGCCGCATGCGGCACGCCGGGTGGTCCGCCGCCACCACGCGGCGCCCCGCTCCCGCCCTGGTGACCGCTGCCGAGCATCACGACTCCACCGCCGCCGGAGCTGGTCCGTGTCAGCTAATCCGCTCGGCCGTCCGGTCGTCGCGGCCCGCCGGTCGGCACGTGTCCCGCCGGGACGGGCGCAGTGCCGGGACCACGCCGCCACGTGCGGCTAACGACAAAGTGATACCGATGCGCGCAACGGGCCGCCGCCAGCCGTCCCCTCGGCCGGCACGTCCCCCGTTTTGGCACGGCGTCGCGGGCGATCGCTGCGGCTGACGGACGAATGAATATATTATCGGCGCGATTCTGATTAGCCAGCATTATTTTAACGACGGCCCGGCCGGGCGGAAAGAATCGCCGCAGCAGACGCGCCGTTATTGTTTACCCTCTCGCGGGGAGGGGGCCGGAACTGCATCAGATCGTCGGCGTCGTCGAATCTATCACGCACCGTCGTCGCCGGCGACGGAAGTCGGCGGCCAGTCGCATCCGATGGGCTGACGCGACGGCCGCCGCTGCCGCGCGCCGCCGACAGAGGGCAGGCGCGCGCCGTCCGATGAACCGGCCTCTATTTCGACGCCGCTCGAGGCCAGGTAAATTTAGCCCGAGCAGCGCGCGGTGCGCTTCGTTGCGCCTCCCGGCTTCTGCCGAGCGACCCGGCGCGCGCGCCACACGATAGCCGCAAAAAATAGCCCGCCCTCGGCTGCGCGGGGGTCGTAAAGAGCGACACGCGCGCGCGCGGTGTCGCGGCGGCCGCCGGCGCGTCCGCCGGGCCGGCGGCGTGAAACGCGGGCGGCCGGCACCAGTTGGGAGTATTCCAGCTCCCCCACTGGCCCGGTGTCGGCGGCCGCGGTGCCGTCGCTGGCAGCCCTTTGGCGCGGTGCGTGCGGGCTGCTGCCAACATTCCGGCGGAGACGGACAAGGGCACCGGCAGAGGCGGCGGCACCCGGTGCGCGTGCCGTGTGCAGGAGGCGGCGCGCCGCGCCAGCGCGCGCGGGTCGGGCCGCCGCCGCCGCCCGCTTGGGCGTCCAGCCCGACCGCCTGTCTGCACAGGCAGCCATCCTGCCGGCGAGTACAGGCCGCGCTTGTTCGCCTCCGGCGGCATCCCTCGCGACGAGACAGCGCGCTGCCACGGACGGGATCGTTAGTCTTCCTCCTCAAGGCACACATCTCGTTGTTCACTCATCTTGCCATCCAAAGCGCACGGCTCGTTGTTGGGAGAGCCTTCGTCTGTCTCTTCTCCCGCGGTGCGCTGTCGCTGGAGGACGTCAGCCCGTCTGTGTGCGGCACAGGCGCGTCCTTGACGCAGCCGGCAGCGAGCAGTCTTTCCAGCCCAGCCGTCAGTTCTCCTGCTCCACGCAGCCGTCCGTCGCCGGGGACGGCCCGGCTGGGTCCGATCCTGACCCTGATCAGCGGACGATGCGGCGGGGGCGCGTAACGTGCCCGGTCACCGACACTGGGCCCAGATGGGCGGGATAGGACATCCAGCTGGCGGCAGCATCCGCCTGCCGACGCCCACCCATGCCGCAGAGTCTCTCGGCTCCACCACCAGACGCCGCCAGACAATCTCGTCGACTCCACCACCAGACGCCGCCACAACAGTCCCGTCGACTCCACCACCAGACGACGCCAGACAGACTCCGTCCGAACTTCGTCACATACCCCAGGTCGCCTTCGCCTTCTCCACAAGTCTCGTGGGTCGTACAACAGTCTTGCAAACAAACGTGGCCGGTGAGGGGGCATCAGACAGCCGCCGCTGCCATTGTCCTCAGTGGGCCGCTCGCGAGCGCTCCGTCTGCCGTGCTCCTAGGCAACGCTGGATGTCCAGCGCTCCACGAGGTCGATGCACATACATCAGCTGCATGTAAAGCTGTACATGTCGTGTATCCGTATCGATATAGACTTGTATTGTTCTGTCTTCCTGGAAGTATTGCATCGGTTTCTAAACCAGTCCAAGTCTTCACCCAAGACGGAATGAATGATTCCTTTAAGCTGGATGCTAGCCAAGCTGGATGCACAGGCTCTTGGAAAACAGGAACCCCTCCCACTTCTGTACGCACATCCATCCCGCCACTCAGTCCCTGACTGTATAATTTCGCGCTCACGAATGCATTGATTTCGGAGAAACGTGCTTTATTAAGCTGACATAATCGCTCCTTTCAAGCTAGCTGCAATAAAATTACAATCAAATTGAGTGCATACTTAAGGTTACTCGCCGTCCTCAGCACGTAATTGAACACGATATACGGGTATAAACAGCACGATATAAACAAGCTTGGGTGGATCAGGAAAACACAGGTTCTTCTCCGTGCCACACATAAATAGGACGGAGGCCAAGCAAAGGTGATTATGACCGCCGCTGCATGGCAGAGCAAACGTGACTGACAAGCCACATCAGGATCGGTTTCCACGGCGCCGATGTTCTCAGCACAAGACATTACAAGAAGCGACTGGCACGGAGGAAACAGCTCCAGAAGTCGGAGCGTAGCGCGCGCCATCCCCCCTTCCCCTCCCCCCACCCCTCACAGGGGACACAACGTAACGAGCCCACTGAAGTGGCGTTGGAATAAAGAACATGATCCTGTGGGCAGAGCACGACCCACCAAGCAACTCGCAAAACGGCCGAGAATTCGCCGTAATCCAGGCAAACGGCTGCCGCGTGGAAGGGGTAAGCGGACCACGAGGGTACCGTTCCAATTTCGCCTCCGACTAATGTTCGTTGTCTCCTTCGCTAAGCCCGAACGGCGCAATAGAAGAGCCGATAAATCTCTACCGGAGCAAGCAATTGGCGATTAGTGGAGGCGATAAACTACAGAGGACTATGTATTTGACAGAGTGACGGGCGCGGCCGACGGCGGGGAGGCTGACGCGGGCGCCGGTCCCACCTTTGCTGACGAACCGCTCGTCGTTCTCCAGATCCGTGGCGTCGCACGGGTTGCCTGAGACGGCGTCTGAAAGAGGACGGCGTCCGGTCAGTGCCGGTCGAGACGGATCAGCGCCAGCAACCCGGCCGGGCGGGCCGACCAGCGGCCGAAAGCCGGCGCCAGGCAGATCCCGCCGGCCGCTGTTACAGGTCACAGGTACAGGTCATCTGTCAGGGACACATGCGGCCTAATACTCCCGGCAAACCACCACAGAGACGGTTTCATCGGCCCGCATGCACGGAGAGCCTAACAGACCGGGTCAGCCTTGGCACGGAGCGTGCGGACAGGGGCAGCCAGAGGCCCGGTCCAACCGGCGCGGTTGTCACTCATCGGTCACAGGCAAGTCGAAAACGTCCCCGACGCGCCATGACTACCACCACAACTGAGCAGCGGTTTCGGGGAAGGCACGGCAGGAACAGAGACGGCCTACCCGTCTTAGCGGCGGCCTGTCCGCTCCCGAGACGGCACACAGATCTCGAGACGGCGGGCAGAGGCAGCGTCCGCGGTCGGTACGGCCACGCCAGCGCTGACGCCTGGCCGTCGGCGGCGAGCCGGGACGGCCGGTGATGCCAGCCGAGCCACAGCCGGCGCGCGGCAGCCGCCGCTCTCCAGTCGCCACACGCCCGCCGGCATAAGGTCAGCAGCTGCCGGACAGGACGTGTGCGGGGGAAAGGCCGGTACCGTCGCCGCAGCGGAGACACAGGCCGGCGTGCTCGCCTGAGAGCCGCCGGCAAGCTTCAGAGAGCACTCATCGGGTGTGTACCGGCGGTACCGAGGCAGCGGCAGCGGCGGCAGCGGCGGCGGGGGGCGGCGGCGGCCTGCTCGCTCGGCCACCAGCCTGGTCGGCCCGGCTCAGGCTCATGGCTATGTATGCCGAGCGGCCGCCGACAGAGCCGCTCACACAGCCGGCAGCGCCGAGACAGTGTGCAGACTCGGGCGCGCTGCAACTGATCCGACCGCCAGCGCCAGGTTGCGCCTGGCCTCATCTTATTCAAGTGGGCGCCTTGGGCCTCACGACGCTGATGGACATATCACACCCTTCAGCTGATAAGCGACAAACTGTAGTTACCTTAACGACCACAGCTCACCTTCTCGAACTTAACGTCATGTACTGAACTGTACTATACATATCATTCCTACTCATCTCAACCGAGTCTAAACCGCTGATTTTTGGTCCCCTGTCAGCTGGGCACGTGACTTGTGTCGTCTGATGCCCCGAATCAGGTGATTTCTCTGGACGCGGCCGGTCACGTAAGTGTGTTCTTCAGCGTGTGACTTCATTTTCTAAAGTGACTAATGAATCTTTGTGGAGCAGAAAAGGCCATTGGAATCAAAAGGTGATGATGGTTGGTTTAAGAGCGCGCTGACTGCGATGGTCATTTTCCAACCCACATCAAAAGAAAGATTGAAGCATCTCCGGGTATGCCAACTACTTTGATGACGGGAATAACTACAACAAGCGAGATCGCAGGAAAACGGATAACTCCTGAGAAGAGGCTTCTATTCAAGTGATTATTCTTTACGGTGCACCTGCTCTAAAATCGAAAGAAAATAAAGCGATTATCTATTCTTACCATGCGCATTAATGACCCCATTGCTGAAACATGGCGATACAAAACCCGTTTACCAGATTGCGCGCGGCATGGTTTACCCACGGACAAAACGGGGCGCTGAAGCACTGCATCCTGGAGATAGTTTAAAGAACCCACCAAGTATATGAGAAGACTTTCGGACGGGAGACTTCAACGACCACCATATTGAATACAAATAATGAAAGTAACTTGATTAGAAAAATGACGGGAGACAATGGTGTCGCATGGCCCAGACGGAGAATGTAACGTACCGATAAAAATCAACGATATTAAATCAATTGCTGTACGTACGAATCTGGCATACATACGCGCTGCTCCGAAAAAAAACGCATGTACAGCCATTACGTGATTTCATAAAACAACTGGTGTTTTACGCACTACTGGTGAACAAACGTCACCCATCCTCTGTCATGACCGACCCATTTCAGCGGCCGCGCCGACCTGATGAGCACGTGAGCGGTGAACCCGGCAATGGGAGGGGGCCGGCCGCCAGCGGGGCCGTCCCGTCTGCTCGCCACCCCCTCAGGCCGCCGATAGCCGGGTGTCCAGCGACGGCACGGCGTCCCCAATCAACGCCAGAGATCTCGGTGCGTCGCAGGCCGGATAATTTGTTCGCTTTAATCGGGACGTTTTTTCGACGGGCTGGCTCCATAAAGCCGCCATTAGGCCGGTATCGACGCCCGTAAATTCGGCGCCGGCCGGTCGTCCGATCACGCCACATTAGCAACCGGCCGGCGCGCGGCGATCGCGTACTGATACCGGGCGCGTAAATTCGCACCGGCTCAGCGAGCGCTGGCAGCGCCGACGGCTCGCGCCGCATCGTCGACTTCGACGTCGGACCGTTCGGCCCGGACCATCCGCGGCGATGACGGGTCGACGGGGCGGGCGCCGCCGTCGCCGCCGCCGCCGCGCCGTCGTACCTTGATCGTCGACGCTTGCGCGCGACCATCCGCCCAGCGGCCGATGCCTTTTCTATGCCTCCCACGTCAAAATACCGGCGCGCATAGCCCGGTCCGGAACGTCGGCCGGGCGGAATCCGACGATTTACCGCCCATTTGAGCGGCGGCGGAGGCGGCGGCGGCGGCGGCGGCAGACTATCCCAACCTCCCCACGCTTGCCCCGACGCATCGGCGGCGCGGGGGCGGCGTCGCCGTCGACGCTGGACGGCGGTCGTCAAAGCCGGTTGGGCCGGGCGGCTGGGGCAGCGGCGACGGCCCTCACGCGGCGACCAGGCGGCGGGGGCCCCGGCCCGGTGGCGGACCCCGCTGGCCGGCCGGCACGTGCCCGGCCCCCCGGCTCTGGCTCCGGCTGGCCTGGCGGCGGGCGCGTGCCCGGCGCGTGCGACGCCACACGCAGCCAGGCGACACGCCGCCGCCGCTAAGTGGACTGGAAGTTATGTCCGAGACGGCGGCCAGTGCTGATTTAGCGCACTCGTCTAACGACCGAAATGGCAAATTATTACCATAATTGTCCACGGCGCCGCGGCTAAACAGCAGCAGTCAGCACCCGGTATCGGCTACATTATGCATTCATAATCGGCGCGCGCGAGACAAAGTGGCGAGCGGCGGAGGGTGTCCGCGCTAACAACGGCCACGGGGAGGCGGGTCGACAGCGGAACGGCCGTTGCAAACGCGCGCCACAACGACGCTGGAATGAGTGCGAGCAGCGAAACCGCTGAGGGAAGACGAGAACGTACGCAAATGACGGCTGAATGGGGAGAGCGCGCATTACGGGCGGTGGCTGTGTTTTGTTGGGCTTCCGATGCTCCCAGTTGAGAACCACCGTTAGGTGATAGCAGTTATAACGCCACGACAGCTAAAGACCAATGTTCTGACGGATCCAAAGAGATTGAAATGTAAGAGGGGGCGTCTGGAGAAGCATATGCTTGAACCCATGGACATCGCAATTTTGCCTTGATCCTGTTCAGTGCATTAATATGGCATATTTTCGGCCGTCGGCGCCACATGACCATATGATCACATGGAGAAAGCGCCCAAACAACCAATGTAAAAAGGTGATAATGCTTCATTGCACATCAGAAAGACGAATAATAACCATCCATCGCCACATGCCACTGCATTTGAAGTACCTTCATAGCCTTCTAAGGCCTCGATGAGATAAGACCGACAACATATTTAAGTTCGGGACCGAGCGAGGGAAGATAACTTCACCAGTTTGGTTAAATCACATCAAGATACGACCAGCTTTATCCCACGAGAATGTCTGTACGCAAGATAGAACGGGGGCAGAAAAACCTACAAAGCAAGAGCTTCTGTGCCAAACTGATCTCCAATTTGTGTCCCGGAACGACTCAGAGTAGATCCTTGCCCTACAAATCAACATTGGCTGACAAAACTACGCTTCAACACAGCTAGCGAGGCCCAAAGGGTAACAGGATATCCACGGCGATGTATTTATATCCGGCCCGAGCCCAGCCGCGTCCGCACATCTTCAAAACACACAAAAACAGGCGCCGGCTTATTTTTAGCGCCGCCGCGTTCCGTTCCCCAGGCCGGGACACAGCGGCCCTCTTTAAACTGCCACTTGGCCGCACATTGCGAGGAGGTAATTATCCGTAATGAGTCCGGGTATCGCGGCGGCCGAGGCGGCGGCGCGGACAGGCCTCCGAGGTGGCGCCGGCAGCGACGGAGGGGGGGGGGGGGGCGGGGGATTACCACCGGATCCGATGGCACAATGCGCAGCGGCGGAACTAGCAATAGCTCGGAACAAACTGCCGGCGCGTCGTCGGCGCCGATTTATGGTAAACGCCGTCGGACGCCGCCTTTCCGAGCGGGTGGCCGCGCCGCAACGCCCTCGCCACCGCCGCCCAGATACGGGCCGTAAAATCTACATGTGAATTCGCGCGGGCCGCGATGAAGGGGTGCCGGCAAATGCCGGCGTATTTGTTACCGATGTCGGAAAGTTTCGCGGGGGAGTGGTGCGGCCCGAGGCGCCCGCGCCGCCGCACGATCAGCGAGGAGTGGTGGGGCGCGGGGCACGCGTACCGTCGCACGATTACCAGGGAGTGGTGCGGCGCGGGGCACGCGCACCGTCGCGCGATCGCCAGGGAGTGGTGCGGCGCGGGGCACGCGCACCGTCGCACGATCACCAGGGAGTGGGCACGCGCACCGTCGCACGATCAGCGGGGAGAAGTGCGGCGCGGGACAGTGGGTCAGAGGTCTGAGCGACGAACGGGCTGGGGGCGCGATCGGCGAGCGATAATTCAGGCGGTCGAGACAGAAACATCGCATATCTGAAGACTTTTGGGCAATTCATTTTTCTGGAAACAAAACGTTTGAGTACATTTCTCACAAACCCGTGGTTGAGAGACCCACTCAACCATAGGCATCGCGTGTTTGTGAAAGCCAAATTTATGGTCACAGGTAAAAAGGCCGACGCTAGTCCATGCATGTTCCTCCTGAACAGAACTGAACACTAACACGTGAACACTCTTGATCCCTCCACCAACACCGATTCTAGGATGCTCAGACCCCTGAGAAGTCATTTCAGTAACAGCCCTTCAAAGGAGGAGCGCCACCTTTGGAGGCCATGTTAACATCCCTGCACTGAGCGAGCAGGACTGGAATCCATCCCGCACGACGGACCGCATGCTCGCGTCGGCCGAAGCATGAACTGCCGATACAATTTCCTGGAGTTGTAAACAGCGCTAACTCACGCCACGTGTGGCAGTTTCTATCGTGCGCGAGCCGTGAACCAATCAGAGACCACGCGTTTGAAAGGACCCGTTCCATTGGCCGCAGCGCGTTACGGCTAGGCTCAGCTGCTTTTGGTGAGACGGAAATCTATCTCATACACCAAGCCGCAGTTTGTACAATTCCACTACAAAATATAATGAACCGAACAGCGTATTGCTGCCTACAAACAACTTGGATTATTAAGCAATGTGTTTTACCCGTATGAGGCATTACAGCCTGGCACAAACTCTTACGAAAGCCATGCTGACAATATCTTCCAAAAGTAACAAATACAGGCTTCTTTGTTAAACAAGAACAGCTCTAAACAGCGATGAGCAAAGTCAACGAGATCCGCCATTTCCATTGACAATCCAACCCCTTAAACAGGAACTCCAAAAAACTAGTTCCACGGCCTCAATCGACCAAGCCCTAATGAGACGCGCCTAATGATGCAATGTCTCCCCTCACCACGCATATATCGGACCAGCCCAGGCTGGCGCAATATTGGTGCAAGAGCACACCACCAGCCTATGTGCTTTTGACTGGTCAGTTTCAAATGCAGTGCCGCACACGTGTAGGTGGGACGCAGCTTCTCAATGCCATGAAAAAAATATATGAAACCTGAAATAACTGATTCGCCTGACTTGGTTATAAAAGCACAAATAAACCATTTGCAGAATGTTGCGGCGCCACACCATTACGCCCACTGCTGGGTCTAATTCCGACTACTGCTTATGATTCCGCTCACGACTGGACGTTTCTAGCTCAAGTGCGGCCGGTGGCCATCCTAACAGCATCACTGCTAAACATCCCCCGGGCTAAAGAGCGCCTGCAGCACCAGCAGTGCGCTCGCGATACCCGCACAGGATCGGACGTCCGTGCTTTCAGATATGCACCGCAGAGGCTCTGCCGAACAGCGCCACAACTCTTATCATTTTGATGCGGCAAAGGGTCAAAGGCGACAATACCGGTGTGCGCATCATTCCCGAGTTGCCACCGACGGCGCCGAACTAACCGTGCGCTGACACCATGAAACAAAAGCCCCGGCAGCCCGGCTGTGACCGCTTACAGCACGGCGGCGCGGCCGGGGCACCGCTCCGGACGCCTCCGCCCGGAGCGCGTCCTCGGGCTGCGACCCCGCCACATCTGGCGGCCCAGTTGCCGGGCCAGTGCGGCGAGTGGAGCAGCGCGCGCCCGGCCCTGCACCGTTCGGCAGTAACTGCAGGCGGGCAGGGAGGCCGCCGCGCCGGCCCCTGAGGCACGCCGCAGCGACCAGCCGCCATGGCCGCCGGCGGCAGCCGGTCGGGCCGGCGACCGGCGAGCGGTCCGAGGGAGGCCGCGGGACAGGCCAGACGCATGGGGGCGTCAGAGAGCGCCGGCGATGTGGGCGAGGGTGATGCGGGCCTCGCGACGGGCGACAGGCGGAGGCGTGCCAAAACGCACCGTCCGCACGCAGCCACGCTCAGCTGGGGCCGACCGCACCCGGAGACACCTCACACCCAGCCAAGAGCCCGCTGTGAACACACCGCTAACGGCCGCCTCGCCATCGTGTGCCAACCAGACGCTGGGGCGGTACCGGCTCCAACGCCAGTTGCGCAGCCGGCCGGACAGGCAGCGGTGCCATCAGCGCCCGCTTGTGCGCCGGCGGCCGTCCCCGCGCCGGGCCCGGCCCGCCCCGCCAGTCGTGCGGCCCCGGCCGCTTACCTGGCCGGTGGACGTAGTTGGCCAGATAAAGGTCGAGCTCGCGGACCGAGATGTTGATGTGGTAGGGGTTGACGCAGAGCTGCGGGTGCATGCAGTCGGGCGATTTCTCGAGCCGCTCGCCGTCAGTCGACTCCAGCGGGATGGCCTTGAAGAGGATCACCATGACCAGGTCCAGCCGCCACACCTGCCGCACGGAAGGCCGGGGTTAGGCGGCGGCGGGCGACGCAGACACGGGACACCGCCGGCCACGAGAGGGAGAGGAGAGACGGGCTGCGAGTGAGCCCTCCCTCAGAGATGAGACACAGCGTCTAGCGGCAGCGTCGCGAGAATGCACAACTGTTCACAGGATTAGCCGAGAACGTCCACACACTGACCGCAGTCCCCCGGCATCACCCCCACACACACACGAACATGCACGATTGAGGAATCTCGAGACCACAAGCCCAGCGCACGGGAGGTGTAACGACGCCACGCGAAGCCCCGCCCGGCAGACACACGCGGTACTCACAACCGTGCCGGCCATTACGGCGCCCTGCCAGCTGTGGGCACGCTGCCCCAGTCCCGCCCTCGGCTCCGTGCTGTCATTGCAGCGGCCGCGGACGGTGAGCGGAGAAAAACACGTCTCACGACATCCGGTGCCGAGTCAGTGGCGCACCGTCTGGTGCGCACGGCAGCCGCACAGCCACCGGGAACAGAACCGTCCGGCCGCACGGTCGGCCGCACTGACCTTGTCCGCTTGCCGCAGGCAGTCTATCCGGCGCATCTTGCCCTTCTGGTCGGGGTTGGAGAGTACGCACATGGCCGGCTTCTTGCCTGAGGACGGGCAGCGGTGTCAGTGGAGCTGGGAGTGACAGCAGTGACGCCGCGAGAGAGTACAGCCACCCCGGGCGGGAGGCGGGCCCAGAGTGACACGGCAGTGAGGCCCCGAGAGAGTAGTCCCACCGGGTGGGAGACGAGCCGGGGGTGACACGGCAGTGAGGCCCCGAGAGAGTAGTCCCACCGGGCGGGAGACGAGCCGGGAGTGACACGGCAGTGAGGCTCCGAGAGAGTAGTCACACCGGGCGGGAGACGAGCCGGGAGTGACACGGCAGTGAGGCCCCGAGAGAGTAGTCCCACCGGGCGGGAGACGAGCCGGGAGTGACACGGCAGTGAGGCCCCGAGAGAGTAGTCCCACCGGGCGGGAGACGAGCCGGGAGTGACACGGCAGTGAGGCTCCGAGAGAGTAGTCCCACCGGGCGGGAGACCAGCCGGGGGTGACACGGCAGTGAGGTCCTGAGAGAGTAGTCCCACCAGGCGGGAGGCGGGCCCGGAGTGACACGGCAGTGAGGCCCCGAGAGAGTAGTCCCACCGGGCGGGAGACGAGCCGGGAGTGACACGGCAGTGAGGCTCCGAGAGAGTAGTCCCACCGGGCGGGAGACCAGCCGGGGGTGACACGGCAGTGAGGTCCTGAGAGAGTAGTCCCACCAGGCGGGAGGCGGGCCCGGAGTGACACGGCAGTGAGGCCCCGAGAGAGTAGTCCCACCGGGCGGGAGACGAGCCGGGAGTGACACGGCAGTGAGGCCCCCAGAGAGTAGTCCCACCGGGCGGGAGACCAGCCGGGGGTGACACGGCAGTGAGGCCCCGAGAGAGTAGTCACACCGGGCGGGAGACAAGCCGGGAGTGACACGACAGTGAGGCCCCGAGAGAGTAGTCCCACCGGGCGGGAGACGAGCCGGGAGTGGCACGGCAGTGAGGCTCCGAGAGAGTAGTCCCACTGGGCGGGAGACGAGCCGGGGGTGACACGGCAGTGAGGCCCCGAGAGAGTAGTCCCACCGGGCGGGAGACGAGCCGGGGGTGACACGGCAGTGAGGCCCCGAGAGAGTAGTCACACCGGGCGGGAGACGACCGGGGGTGACACGACAGTGAAGCCCCGAGAGAGTAGTCACACCGGGCGGGAGACGAGCCGGGGGTGACACGGCAGTGAGGCTCCGAGAGAGTAGTCACACCGGGCGGGAGACGAGCCGGGGGTGACACGACAGTGAAGCCCCGAGAGAGTAGTCCCACCGGGCGGGAGACGAGCCGGGGGTGACACGGCAGTGAGGCCCCGAGAGAGTAGTCACACCGGGCGGGAGACGAGCCGGGGGTGACACGACAGTGAAGCCCCGAGAGAGTAGTCACACCGGGCGGGAGACGAGCCGGGGGTGACACGGCAGTGAGGCCCCGAGAGAGTAGTCACACCGGGCGGGAGACGAGCCGGGGGTGACACGACAGTGAAGCCCCGAGAGAGTAGTCACACCGGGCGGGAGACGAGCCGGGGGTGACACGGCAGTGAGGCCCCGAGAGAGTAGTCACACCGGGCGGGAGACGAGCCGGGAGTGACACGGCAGTGAGGCCCCGAGAGAGTAGTCACACCGGGCGGGAGACGAGCCGGGAGTGACACGGCAGTGAGGCCCCGAGAGAGTAGTCACACCGGGCGGGAGGCGAGCCGGGGGTGACACGGCAGTGAGGCCCCGAGAGAGTAGTCACACCGGGCGGGAGGCGAGCCGGGGGTGACACGACAGTGAGGCCCCGAGAGAGTAGTCCCACCGGGCGGGAGACGAGCCGGGGGTGACACGGCAGTGAGGCCCCGAGAGAGTAGTCCCACCGGGCGGGAGACGAGCCGGGGGTGACACGGCAGTGAGGCCCCGAGAGAGTAGTCCCACCGGGCGGGAGACGAGCCGGGGGTGACACGGCAGTGAAGCCCCGAGAGTACAGCCACCCAGAGAGACGATAAGAGCGCACCGCATGGGGGATGACCGACGGTATCTGATGGCTAGCTGAGATAAACTGTTACTGCTGCGACAGAGGTATGCCGCGGACACTGTTACTGCTGCGACAGAGGTATGCCACGAGACACTGTTACTGCTGCGACAGAGGTATGCCGCGAGACACTGTTACTGCTGCGACAGACGTATGCCGCGAGACACTGTTACTGCTGTGACAGAGGTGTGCCGCGAGAAACTGTTACTGCTGCGACAGAGGTATGCCGTGGGACATTGTTACTGCTGCGACAGAGGTATGCCGCGGGCCATTGTTACTGCTGCGACAGAGGTATGCCGCGGGCCATTGTTACTGCTACGACAGAGGTATGCCACGAGACATGTTTTATTCGGCGGAGGGTTGACTAAGACTATCGCATTAAAATGGAGTATCTTACAACGCCATAAGTTGCCGACCTCCGCAAAATCTCATCACAGCATCATGCCATTGACGTGCGTGGCAAATAGCACGGTGGGCGCGTGCCGCTATAAATGGACCTGATAGTCACCTGTTACAGAGAGGACGAAGTCTTCGCGACACTCCTGTGTGATGTCTTTGCGGAGCTTGCCGAGGAGCCTTGACGCCCACTTCTGCTTCACCTCTGCTTTCTCGCTCTGCGAGAGACGATACGGGGCATCAGTGCTGCGAATAGTGCTGAGTGGATCACAGCTTGCGCGTCCACGAAACGAGGTCCGGGCCGGACGAATGTGTTCAAACGGAACGCATTCGCAGCATTCCGGCAAGCCTAACGTCACGGCTCCGTAGAAAACAAATCTGGAGGACAGACGCAGCGGGGAGTCGGGATGAAAAGATCCAGCACGCTTCGTTACAGGCAGTCTTGAAACCAGAAGCACCAAGTTGACCACAAATCAAGGTCATATACCTGAAAGGACATCTAACAACTGTAACGAACGATGAACGATAATGGTCTGGACAGTTACAAAAATACCACTAGGTAAGTAAAACTACATGTACAGATAGCCTTAGGCCAATGAACAGTCAGCTTTAGTTAAGTATGTGTATTCCAACAAAGATGTTGCGAAAGCTATGCCTCTGCATCGTTTGCGCGACATTGCGTCTTCCACTTGGTCTTCATTGCTCCTCGGCGCAGTGCACCTACAAGAAAGGAAGCCCCTGCTTCCCGCCCCGTCCCGTCTCTTCCCAGACCGGTGCTCCCACTCCTCCCCTGCCCTGCCGCGTGCTTCGGCCTCGGGCGGCGCACGCACCTGGAGCTCCTCCTTACACCGGCGCTCCTCCTCCAGGCTCATGCGCTTCTCGTGCTTCTTGAAGTATTTCCGCTTGGCTGCCTGCAGATTGAACCAGGTGTAGGAGAAGGCCTTGACGTGCGGCAACAGGGCCTCGATGAACGGGTGGAACTCGTCCTGCCGGAGAGCCGGGCGGATTGTCAGCCGCCGGCCACGGCAGGATGCAGCGGCCGGCTGCCGCCAGCCCGCACACGGGGAAGGCCTGTCCGGGAACGCCGACGGCTGGCCGGCCGGGCTCGGGACAACAGTGGGCAGCTGGAGAGACCCACGCTCGGACCTGGATCAGGCCAGGCCCGGCACAACAGTCGGCAGATGGAGAGACCCACGCTCGGACCTGGATCACGCCAGACCCGGCACAACAGTCGGCAGCTGGAGAGACCCATGCTCGGACCTGGATCAGGCCAGGCCCGGCACAACAGTCGGCAGCTGGAGAGACCCCCGCTCGGACCTGGATCAGGCCAGACCCGGCACAACAGTCGGCAGGTGGAGAGACCCCCGCTCGGACCTGGGTCAGGCCAGACCCGGCACAACAGTCGGCAGCTGGAGAGACCCACGCTCGGACCTGAACCAGGCCAGGCCCGGCACAACAGTCGGAAACTGGAGAGACCCCCGCTCGGACCTGGATCAGGCCAGACCCGGCACAACAGTCGGCAGCTGGAGAGACCCCCGCTCGGACCTGGATCAGGCCAGGCCCGGCACAACAGTCGGCAGATGGAGAGACCCACGCTCGGACCTGGATCAGACCAGGCCCGGCACAACAGTCGGCAGCTGGAGAGACCCACGCTCGGACCTGGATCGGGCCAGACCCGGCACAACAGTCGGCAGCTGGAGAGACCCCCGCTCGGACCTGGATCAGGCCAGACCCGGCACAACAGTCGGCAGTTAGAGAGACCCCCGCTCGGACCTGGATCAGGCCAGGCCCGGCACAACAGTCGGCAGCTGGAGAGACCCACGCTCGGACCTGCATCAGGCCAGACCCGGCACAACAGTTGGCAGCTGGAGAGACCCACGTTCGGACCCAGCCAACGTCCGCCGTATCTTACTGCCTTGCCGCGATGCGGTGCTTCTTACCACAGCGAGGAAACCGGAATGGTGGTCCGACACGAATGTATCAAGCCGATCATTTGCACCCTCACACTTTCACATGGCTTTGCACTGACACTGGCGGTGAATGGAGCTTTGGCGGTGGCGCTCAGAAACGTACATTGAGTGCTGTTGGTTTTCGAGAGGCACTTCGTTACATGCAGCACGATCAGTGTCCGGTACACGGCACCTGGTCCAAAGTGGCGCATGCGCTTCGAGGCAGTGTGGACACATTCCACCAAGACGTGGCGAACGGCGGCACGGCTCCGCTCAACGAAGACATCACGGTCGGTCTTCCCCACATAGCAAATATCTGGGAGAAGCCTATGCACGTCTTATTCTGAGGCGGTATGGCGGCATTTCCCCTCGCCTCATCTTACGGAAGCCCATGGTCTTTGTTGCGTTGGTGGTCAGTGTGCTCTCTTCGCATCAGTTGGTTCCAGATCATTTGGTGTAATGCAGGTAGGATGTACACTGTCGACCGACTGCTAAAAAAACACGCTACAAACTCAATCTGCGTTTTGGCGACGGACAACCCACGGAATTTTGGCTACGGAAAGCGTGTAGCCACTTGAGATCTACATAAGTCGCTACATGCTTTATTTGCTACTCATCATTCGCCCACCATTCAGCATGGTGTACTATCATCGCGATTTCGGTGTTAACGGTGCGCGCTTAAAAAAGGGGATGTTCCACATTTGAAGACATCGAAGATATGATGACACAGTTGTGTTGAAATAAGCTCGCTTACAACTATTAACAAACTATATATAACTATATAACAAAAGGGGATGTTCCACATCTGAAGACATCGAAGATATGATGACACAGTTGTGTTGAAATAAGCTCGCTTACAACTATTAACAAACTATATATAACTATATAACAAAAGGGGATGTTCCACATTTGAAGACATCGAAGATATGATGACACAGTTGTGATGAAATAAGCTCGCTTATAACTATTGGTATACTTTAAAGTGGAAAGGACTCCTTCAGACGACACATGTCCCTGTTTAGTAAATATACGCCTAAATATGTCAGCGTTTGACTGCGTCATCATATCGTGCAAAACATTGTTTGAGAGCCAGTTGACGGCCCAGAAATCGTGCTCACGAACGTCAGATGTGAACGACTCGACAAGTGATATTTTTCTTGGCCTTGACCGCCGCATGGTCAATGGAATGGCGGGATTTGAATAGCGTTATTAAAGCGTCATGGATGCCTGGGTGACCTTGCAATAGTCGCAGTCGGCACGAAATGGTCTGCGCATCTGTGGGCGTCTAGCTTACAAACTAGTTGGGTTTAGGTCTTAAAAAGGGCAAAACTGTGAGCTGCATCGGACGGTCTTCACGATGGCTATTGGGTTGAAAACCACACACAAATGTGGAACACTCCCTTTAAACGTCCCGCATTGTTCTTTTCGCGTGAGCCATTGGATGATCTTCGGAAGAGCGGGGCTCAGAGTTTCCGTGCCGTATTCTAACACACGGAAGCTAACCACAGGTGTGCAAGATGGGCAGCTTCGCACGCGGTAACGGCGGCACCACCGGCCGGCCGGGGGGGAGGGGGATACTGTGCATTGGAGAGCACACGGGGTATGCGAGAGCCAACCTTCCCCATGCCCCACCCTAGGCGTCATGCAGTTTAAGAATTGTCGGGGGACGGGTGGCTCCAGCCGCGCCCGCTGACGACACTCCCGCTGCGGTCTGTCAGCACAGCGGCACACCACAGCGGTCTCTGGAAAACATCGCGTGATATCGTCCTCAAACGCCCCCCTCGTCTCCCTCTCCTACTTGTCAAACCCGAAACCGTAGCAAAATGATAATCATGCTAACATAGGGCGAACCGCGCCGGCGTAATTCTCCCGTGGGTATGCAGGAACGCATCGACCCATGGTTTACACCTGTCTGATCGCTTGACACCAAATGTTTGCAGCAGCAGCAGCAGCTTCCCACCGCAAACACAAAACTGCTGTCTGCCAACCTCACGCGCGAGCGGCAGCGCGGTGGGCGCCCGACGGCCCCGCAGCCACGATGTCTCCTGGGAGCTCCGTCCGGGAAGCAGCCCGGCCGGTCACGAGGCCGCCCGTCTCGCGGCACTCGTCAGACCGCTCCAGTGCGGGGGGGGGGAGGCGCCAGCCCTTCCGGCAGGGGCGGCGGCCCGCCTCCGCCGCGCCGCCGCGCCGCCGTCCGCCGGTTCCAGCCCGGCCGGCCGTGCCCACCTGGCCCAAGGACACGCCAATTCATTACCAAGGCTGCGGCGAGGCCAGACGGCGGCGGCGGCGGCGGCGGTTCTGTCGCGCGACCCAGGGCAGCCCGCGGCTCGGTCGCGACGCCGTCGCCGCCGAGCACACGATTTCCGTCGGCGACCGGGCCCGACCGGAGCAGCTGCGTTGTGCCGGGCCCGGCAGAAACAGCACGGCCAGAGCTGGCGAACGGCAGCCGACAGCGGTTCATGTCGACAGAATGTAATATTGCAATGGCGTCATTACTTGCTGAAGCTAATTCTAAATCACGTTACGTTGGCTGCTTGAGGCACAAGAACCCGTTATACTCGTACGGAGGCGACTCGTCCACAGTAGCGCGTGGAATCACCACCAATCCACACAAAGAACAAAACGTAGTTACTTCGGTGCCAAGTGGGGGAAACGGGGCCTTTTAAAACGGTTTAGCCATTGCCTAGGCACTCAAAAAATACAAGGCGAAGGACTTGGCGCATGCGACCTCGGCCACATGCCTCACGCAAGACTCGACCGAGCCGTCTGACACGATTGCCGGGGTGGACAGCCGCGGCCCTCGTGCCGCACGCCGCTGCCGGGGTGGACAGGCGCGGCCCTCGTGCCCACGCTGCTGCCGGGGTGGACAGCCCGCGGCCCTCGCGCCTCACGCCCCTGCCGGGATGGACAGGCGCGACCCTCGTGCCGCACGCCGCTGCCGGGGTGGACAGCCCGTGGCCCTCGAGCCGCACGCCCCGCCAGGGTGGACAGCCCGCGGCCCTCGTGCCTCGCGCCGCTGCCGGGGTGGACAGCCCGTGGCTCTCGTGCCGCACACCGCTGTTCGTCACGCTCACCACAGATGCGCCGTCGCCCGCGCGTGATTAAGTCAGCGCATCGAACTTCTGAGTCTCCGTGGATGAAAGCTTAACACAATCGTGTGAGCCGCCTGATTGAAACTGGTTCGCAAACTGGGGCGATTCGCACTGAACACCAATGGTTCGCACCAGCGGAATAGTTCTACTCCGACTGATACCGACGTTGATTGTGTGCTGTATCACACTTAGAACTGTAGCCTTTCGTCAGAGTTGAAATCCGCTTTACTGTAGCATCACGTCTGAGATGAGCACATCCGGCTTGTCGTTGTGGGTTACGTTTGCGTAAGGTTCCTTGGGGGTGAAAGGCACGGTTTCGCGAAGCCCATTGAAAGGAAACGGCGGTCGTTTAACCTAGGGCACCCAGAAACGCCAGTTTTCCGCAGGCTTTGGGCGTCTCCATGTCACTATCAGGTGGGAACTTTTGACTAATTCAAAAATTGTTTTCATTCAGGTCTTTTATTCCAGTCGTATGTGGAAGATGGGGAAAAGAGATTGAACTATTCGGCTTCTTTGAAGCTAACACTGATTTTGTTCCACCGCTGTACTCGCCGACTGCACTTGTTGGAACACCGCAAGCGCACGCCATCGCTGACTGGGAGCGCGGAGCCGCTCTGTGTGGCAGTGATCGGCTGCAAGTCGGTGGGTAACAGCTGTCGGTTAGGGGAGGAGCTGCTGCAAGCTGCTCGAGCTCCTCCCTCCGTTCCTACTCAGGATACGACAGGTTCGACAACAGCCGGCACTTGCAACGGTTCAGAAATCCCTAGGAGGCCGGTACCAGCGGGAGGGGGGGGGGGGGGGGACGGCGGATCGGTCAGCAAGGACGGACCGCCAGATGCAAGACAGGTCACCGGACGACCTCTCGGCGACCTCGACTCCGCTGTGCGAGGGGCTCCACCGCTCACACGCCACCGATCGCAACCACCAGAGGCGGCTGAGCACCGAGCTCAACTCCACTCAGTTGGCCTGGAACACGCAACCCCGCCCAGTACGCGTGCCGGTCGACAGCCAGGGGTACAGCTCCCGGTGCGCGGCGAACGGCGGCCGCACAGCTCCTGCAGCCGAGCCGCGGGACCGGTTCAGACGAAGCCTCCCTGAGCGGGCGACTCCCGGCCTTCTCCCGGTGACACGGCGCCAGCAGTCGGTCGGGACGCCAGCGGACCGTGCCGGCCGCGGCGGTGCGGGCGAAGCGTCTCCGAGCTCTCCGACGGGACGGAGAGCTGCCACCGGGCGGCATTGCTGCCAGTACAGGCCAGCTCACACCGGCGGCGGTCAGTGCTCCTTGCCAGGGCGCGGTGTAGCATCATGAGGAGATGAGCACCGCCTAAACGCCCCCGAACCACGATACGGCGGAGTGGACGCCGTGGCTTATTCCGAGGTACACTATGATGAGATACGGCGGTGTGGGGAGAAGAGCCGCATTACGTCCTATCAGTACCACCAAATCACAGCACGGCGGCGTGATCTGTAGATCAAACGCATTCCCTCGCCACGCCGCGACCAGTTAGCATGAGAGCGGCGGACGCGCACCGGGCCACAACCTAGCCCGGCACGGTGGCGTGGCGACGGCGAAAGCTTCCCACGTCGCAGCGCGTGCGTGTGAGGCCGGCGGCGCCGAGACCGGGGCGGCGGTGGGGCCCCGGTCGGCCTGGGCTGTGGCACGGACGGCCCGGCCGGCCGCCCACCAGTCCAGCGGGGTCGTGCACGGCCGCGGCGGCCCGTTAAGAGTTCAGCGGCGCTGCACGGCCGGCCCCGGGCGGCCGGGCGCCGCGCGGCCGGCCTCTCCGGTCACTCGACCGCGCCCGTTCCCCGTAATCCGGCCCGGTTTAGGCGGAATGGACATGAGATGGCAGCCGGCGCCGGCCCCGCCCTGCGGCCGGCTCGGCGTCGGCAACGTCGCCGAGCCCGGAGACCCGAGCAGCGGGCCGTGGCGCCGTCACGAGTCTCGACGCGCGGTGCACGGCGCGCGGCTCCAGCCGGCGCCGCCCATGATTCGACACATTTGAAATACATCCACGCCAGAGCGCTGTGCCTCCATTCGGCCTACGTCTCCCGCAGAGCCGGCGGCGGGAGGGCGCGGCCGCGCCGGGAGCCTGCGCCGATCCCGGCGCGACCGGGCCGGCGGCCGGCCGGCACCGGCGGCAGGCCTGTCGCTCGGACGGAGGCGTCCCGCGTGACGCGACACTGCCGCGCGCCGGGTCGGGCCGGGCGGCGACACCGGAGCCGCCGCCGACACCCCAGCCGAGCCGCGCGACCGCGCCGGCGCACCCCACTCACCCGAATCATGTTGAAGTTGCCGACCTGGCTCTGCAGCATGTTGGCCGGCAGCGACATGACGTCTGCGCGGCTCACTCGGCGGCTTGCGCAGTGCGCTCTCCCGGCGTACGGCACACGACAGGTCAGCACGCGGCGCCCATGGGCTGGCGCGGACGCGCCGGGCGGGAGCGGGCGGCCGGCCGCGCCGTCCGAGGCAGACACCGGCGCGCCGCGCGGCGCGACGCCGGCCGACCGGCTGACTGAGCGAGGCTCGCTGACGCTCGGCCCGCGCACCGCTGCCGGCCGCCGCCCGGCTCTCCCGTCCGGATCGGGTCAGGTCAGGTCCGCTCAGGTCGGGTCCGGTCCGGCCGGGTCGCCTCGGGTCGCCTCACGTGGTGGTCGTTGGCACGACTGCGGGCTTGGCCGACGCTGAGGGCTGGCGCGGCGCGAGCGCACGTTCTCGACCCAAACAGGCACCTCTGCCAACTGGAGGCGCCCGTGTGGGCACGTGAGACGCCGGCGCCGCCAACCAACGGCGCAGCGCCCGGCCGCCAGCCGCGCGCCACGTATTTTGGGCGGCGCGGCGCGGCCGCTGCGCCGGCGCACGTGCGGCCGAGCGCGCTGCTGCGCCGGCTGGGAGGCGGCTTGGCGTGGCCGCCCCTGCCGGGCGGCGGTCCCCGCCGCGTGACTCAGCCGCCCCCGCCGCGTCCCGCCGGCCGGCCACGCCGCGCACACTCTCTGTGCCCGGGTAACGGGAGCCGCGCGCGCCGCGGCCCCCGTCCCACGGCTGTGCGGCGCCGCCGCCGGTGCCTCCCGGGAGGCCGGCGGCCCCCGCGCCGGCCGCCGCCGGCTCGTCAGCCGATCCTCGGTCGCGGATCCTTGTAACGCGACACACGTCCGATGGGGATCAGCTGGCGGGAGACACAGCGCGGCGCACAGCGTCCAAACACAACGGGTTTCGACAGTTTCGCCGCGGTCGGGTTCAGTGCACTCGGAAGACGCCTCACTGGGGAAACTGGGACGGCCTCGTATCTCCCGCGTTATGACAGCAGCTGGCGCAGGCCTGGCGTTCCCCACAGGAGACCGGTGACGGCGCAAGGTAGCTGACTACTCCGGCAGACTTCACACGAACGGCACGCACCGAAAGGCCGGTCCGGCCCCACCAGCACAGGCATCGACATGTCCGCGGCCGTTCCAGAAATGGACGGCCGACGCTGGCTAGGGTCAGGGTGCCACAGATCCCGTGTCTCCATGCGGACATGGATCGTTTCTACGGGGAAGGCTGCTGGGGAACTCGGATACGTGCTAGGGACGAAAAAGACGGGACATGGCGAGTGGTATGGTATTCGGCCACTGACATGGATGAAAAGGACCTTCTTCTACCTCTATTCTCTCTGCGTGAGACCCCTGAAAACAGGACGAGCGAGAAATATCCACCTCTGTTTAGACCCACCACCACTTTCCGATGATTATTTGGGCTTTAGGGCGCGCCGACTATGAAGGTCACACGGCGCCCATGGCCTACACCACTTTCTGAATTTCCTCAACCATCTCACAATCACCACCTAGGTTCGTCCGTCAATGCATCGAACCCCAAGCCCAGTCTCCGGCCTGCCCGCTGTGCTGTGAGGTGAGCTTGCTCACCTCGCACCGGTCTGATATCTATTTGCCGATGCAATGTGCGTACCGCCTCGGTGCTGTAAATGCACATGCGCGTGTACCGGCGAGCCGCGGAACTGTGTGTGCGGGGGAGTCAACACCAGCTGCGATGTTCGGACCACGCTCACGCCGCCCATGGAAATTCAGATAGGAGTTACGCGGCTACTAACCGCAAACAAACGTTGGCTAACGTTGCGCTCTACCTGAAAACCCATAACATGTATCCCATGCAGTTAATCTCGTGGCGAAAATCTCCTTGCCAGAGTATTGCGAAGACATCTGCCCCACCTCTCTCCGCCGCGGCCACATCGACGCTCTTCGAATCCCGTGACGTCACTGTCCGACGCCCCAGCGCCCGAGTCGACGACCCCGCGCCAGCCGATGCACAGGTGCCCGGTCAGCACCGCAGGCCTGCCTCCCAGACAAACGGCCACTAATTGCCATCTCGCCACCGCTCAGAGCAGCACCGGTCTGACATCACTGTGTGCACAACGCCTCGCAAACGCTCAGAACTGCGGCCATCGCCGACGTAATGGGCACCTGCCGGCGGCGAGCACACCCGGAGATTGAAATCGAAGTAGCAACCCGGGATTGTGCTGTCACGCAAGAGATTGGAGAATGGCATCACGCACGGTCGTGATCCCGTGATTTCCATGTTGTCCTAACAGGTCCTTGTCCTGCGCTTGATTAAAGCAGTCACGTGGTCTGGCTACCAAAAAAGAAAACAGAACAGAACATGGCGCGCCCCCTGACATACAAGAGACGACAATGATGACGGCTCGTCAAAACAGCCTGCTGAGACTCGGCGACAGTGAGTCCACATATCCGTGGACGTCGCCGGCAGTAAGCTGGACATATCACGGTGATCACGTAATCCGCGGGCGCTTTACCAGGATAACGAGCTCCCAGCCCGTGTAAGGCGATTGTGGACGATGCTTCGAATTCCGTGAGATTGTTTCCCTTTCCTCACAATAGCACCGCATGCACCCAGGAGACGCAGAGCAGTCCCCTGGTAGCAGCGGCATCACTCGATTGTCGGTCTCGCGACGCGCCGTTTACACGCGGTCTGGGGTACCCACACACCCAGACCAGTCCGCGTCACGAGGCGTGCGGAACGGCGGGTCTGTGCAACCACTGTGTGAAAATCAGATATGACCCCACGGAGCCGACTTGTGCACTTCCGAGTTGACTTCGGTTCCGATCTTAGAGGCCAGTCACTTGCTCATCGATTCCAGTGGAGCCAGGAACAGGGACAACAGTTAAGCAGCAAGCCATTTTACGGGATGCATAAAAGCACACAGTAGGATATGTTACCGCAAAGCAGCTTTTTAACTAGTGCTTCAAACCCGCCCATGCAAGCGTTGTCAGAAGGAGAACGAAACTTTCATTTTCACAGTTATAATTAAGTGCAATCATCGATTTTCTCGGCCAGCACGGTCATACCAACTCCGGTCTTATTTCACCAAAATTTGTATTAGGCGTCATCACTTCACCTTTACGAGAGTCGTGTTCGTTGCGGGGCCGAATGCGACTCCGCCCAGACTACGGCACACGCCTGCTCGGAAGTCCGTGTCAGCCGGGTACGGAGGCATGAGAGCACGCGCGCACCCCGCCGCCAGAGCAGGAGCGGCGTCGACGCGGGCGATGTAGCGGCCTCGCGTGTCCCAGCTAGGGTCTGGGTACTGTGGCGCCACCACGCGCACACCTCGCCGCCAGAGCAGGAGCGGCGTCGACGCGGGCGATGTAGCGGCCTCGCGCGTCCCAGCTAGGGTATGGTACTGTGGCGCCAGCACGCGCACACCTCGCCGTCAGAGCAGGAGCGGCGTCGACGCGGGCGATGCAGTGGCCTCGCGCGTCCCAGCTAGGGTCTGGGTACTGTGGCGCCAGCACGCGCACACCTCGTCGCCATAGCAGGAGCGGCGTCGACGCGGGCGATGTAGCGGCCTCGCGCGTCCCAGCTAGGGTCTGGGTACTGTGGCGCCAGCACGCGCACACCTCGCCGCCAGAGCGGGAGCGGCGTCGACGCGGGCAATGTAGCGGCCTCGCGCGTCCCAGTTTGGGTCTGGGTACTGTGGCGGCAGACTGTTTTGGCGCAAAGTTATTCCTTGGACTGGCGCCGAGCTGCGGCGTCCCCGAAGACCCGAGCGAGAAGTAGGATAAATGAATCTGTATTTGTGCGACCACAGACGCCCCAGAATGTAAGGAATTACGGCCAACAAATTGGATTATGTCGAGTCAGGTTAGTACCCGACCGGCCCCAGTGTACATGGCCAGGTTCGGTACGAACGTTGCAGGGTCGGTGCGGGCGGTGCGGGGTCGGTACGAACGTTGCAGGGTCGGTGCGGACGGTGCGGGGTCGGTACGAACGGTGCGGGGTTGGTTCAGATGGTGCGGCGTCGGTACGAATGGTGCGGGGTTGGTTCGGATGGTGCGGCGTCGGTACGAACGGTGCGGGTTCAGTACGGACGGTGCCGGGTCGGTGCGAACAGTCCGGGGTCAGCACGGACGATGCAGGGTCGGTACGGACGGTGCGGGGTCGGTGCGGACGGTGCATGAACGGCGCCGGATCGGTGCGAACGGTGCGGAGTTGTTACCGGCGGTGCGGGGTCGGTACGAACAGTGCGGATGCAGGGTCGTTACGGACGGTGCACGAACGGTGCGGGGCCGGTACGAATGGTGCGGAGTCGTTACGGACGGTGCCAGGTCGGTACGAACAGTGCAGATGCAGGGTCGTTACGGACGGTGCGGGGTCCGTACGGACGTGCGGAGTCGTTACGGACGGTGCCGGGTCGGTACGGACGGGTCGGTGCGGGGTTCATGGTTGGTACCAGCCCTGGTGCCTTTACCCATCAGACGCAATGAAGTGTGACCCGGGTGAAGTCACCATGACGCTCTAACTCTGGCGATGACAGTACAAAGCATGGGAGAGCCGACTCTTTTCATCCCGCTTTTTCAGCCGATATATGCATACAAAACTAGCACCTCCGAAAAGCTGTATCGTTGCCTGCGTGACGTCCCAGTAGCTTGTGCCCACCCGCGTTGAAAGGTGCTCGAATGGCTCGAACGAGTTGAGGCTGCGGCAGGCCCACGGCTGTGCGGAGTTGCAGCGTCCGGGTGACGTCAGACCTCTGCGGTACTTTCACAGGGGCTGGCCAGGATGGAAATGATGCGGGCTGAAGGCAACGAAAGACGGATGGTCTGGATGGCCTACTCTGATCCAGAAGTACGGATTATCTGAGATGATAGCACATAATTCAGTAGATGTAGGATGTAGATGTATGTATGATGGATGCAGCTTACTCACGTTGCAGATTGTCCCAGTGGTAGAGTGGGGCAAAACCAATGTGGTTACATTCTAGGTTACACCGGCATGGTGGCTACATAGACGCAATGTCATCTTCACCGTCTACCAACAGGTCTTTGCTTGCTATACCTGTGTCCACAGAAAGTGATGATGCCTCGTATACCGTGCCTGGACAGAGGACGCGTGTTAAGATGCTGCCATGTACGTTAGTAGCAAACTTTTCGGATGCCAAGGCATTGAGAGTACAGTGCACCGTGCGCCATAGGTGGCCACCGCTTGGGGCACTGCGCAGGTCAGGACACCGGCGGCGCTGGGGCCTCCGTGGCCAGAGGGCAAGGCCGATAAAAGACCGGGTGGCTGGGGGAGGACCAGACGCGATGACGTCACGGCAATGACAAGACCAAAGGACAGACGAAGCTGTACAAACGGCGAGCTCACGGCGATGCGGAGGCAAACTGGGGGGAGACAGGAGGCGGACGACCACCCGAGAGAGGCCCGCGCGGGGGCCACAGTTGGGCGCCGCCGGAGTCGGCGACGGGAGGTGGGAAAGAGAGAACG